TGTATAAAGTTATGATAATAAAAAAAAAAAAAAAAAAAAAAAAAAAAAATTTTTTATTTTATAATTTAATTTGAGTTGCTTTTTATGTTGTAAGAATGGCTTACGTTATAGCTTTATTTTATGGGTGAAATTTTCTATCGTTGAAAGAGTTGTAAATTTAAAAAAATTTTTTCTTCGGATCGCGTAGTCACGTGATTTGTATTTCGTAATTTATTGGAGCGAATGGAGCGTGGACCACTGGACCATGATCCAGATGCTTATCCTGGACCATCAAATTTGATTGATGGGGATTGTTTTGTGTAACATTTGTCTTTGAAAAAATTTTGCGATGTTATTAAAAAAAGGGAGTGAGGAAAATTCAATTCCTCAAAATAATTTTTTGAGCGAAACAATTAACAATTTTTTGTTTGAATAGAAAATTTTATAATATTATATGCTAGAATAGATTGTAAATAAAATTTTGTCCATAATTTCATAAATAAATATAAATAATTAATTATTAAAATATTTCTATCTCTCATAATAGTTTCAAGAGTGTTCCAATGTAAAAATTATGTCCAGCAGAATTAGTATAATCGTGAAAATTCCATAGCTCTATGATAAAAAATAGCAATATTAGAAATATTATTATTCAACTATGATATAACCAAAAATATTATTTTTTTTAAATAAAAGATAAAAATGGAATATGGAAACATGAAGGGGAGAATAAGTATCTGGACCAGTGACCAATTATTGGCTTATCGTCACGTAAGTGAATGGATTTAAAAATACTTAATTTTTTTTTTGGCCGTAAATTATATTAATCAATACTAGAGAAAAAATTTGGTATTAGACCTTCGATCTTAGGACACGTGACCGCAGTTGCATACTTCTGGCCCGCATTATATAACTCTGACCAGAATTATGGTCCAAATAATTTTCCGGCCTTAGTCGGTTAATCGTCTTAAAATTAATTATCTGGTTAATATTAACTGGTTCCAACTTCTAGTTATGAAAAGAGAAAATTCATAGCGTACATAATCTATTTGCCAATTTCCAAAAATAATACTGTGTATTTATCAATTGCTTTCTAGCCCTATAAAAAATTTTATCCGTTATTTCTGTAAAAACTCCGTAAAAATGAATCTTTCACGGATCCATTCACGGAAAATGTAAATCAATCGATAAATTCCGTAATATAAGGTTATTAATTCCGGAAATATGAGCCTTTTACGGAAAAAAAATGGAATATAAAAAACGGAACGGATCGACTTTTTTACAGGATCTCTTCTTTAAATTAAAAACAATCCCACATTCTCAATATTACGTGTAAAAATATTTTCAGATGAATAATCGTACTAAATGAATACAACTAGTATGAGATTTATGCTAGTGAAATATTTTTGTAAGAATGAAAGAATCGGGATAGCGGCGCGTCGGTCTTATCAGTTTACCCGTTAATTTTGTAATTTTTACATCCCTACATCTTAGAAATAAGTAAAGTTCTTTAAACTGGTATAAAAAACTTAGATATTAAATTGTGTAATTTTAGCTGGAGGTGTAGAGCGTAATTTTGATACTTTGATTAGTAAGACTTTTCTTGAGAGAAAAATTGAAGTTATTCGTCACGTCATAGAATTATTATAAGTAACATGATATACTGTATAGGTGATATGTTTAAAGTACTAACTACGGTATTTTTGTGATGAAATTATTATTTAATCACTCTCTTCCTCTTTACAATATAATTTCAACACTTCGACCAAATAAAGCATGTCCTGAGAAGAGAAGAGGTATGGTAAGAAATTCTTGTATATCAGGAAGTTTTTGCCATTTAAAATCTGCAGAGAATTCTACGTAGCGTGGAACCATCATGGAAATCTAAGTAGAACCAATATTTTCCGAATATCGTGTCATCCTGTGACGATATCTAATTAAAATTTATTTTTACTCACCTCAGGAACCGAACCAAATACCTTGACTTATACTATTAATAAGTCATATCTCACGTACCTAGTAGATTATATCTTATATTTATTCTTGAGCTGCAAAAAAAAAAAAAATTTATTATATAATAAAATATTCGTTCTATATTCTTTCTATTTAATTTATATCTGTATGTTTTAACTAGCACTGTTATACTGTGCTATTAACAATTTCTTGAACTCCGCAGCAATATCTGCGGATGAATCCCACATATCCTGCTAAAGAATTCTATGGTGGTATTTCTACTACGAAATATGTGGTTTTGTGTGGATACTTGTCCACGCAATTTGATAGTATGTAGGATTCCACGTATTTCCAAACTAACCTACGTGGTTTTTGGTGGATCGATCTACCTAAAAATTTCCTGATGTAAAATTTCCTTTAAGGATAATCAATATATGAAAATATTGTTATTTTAACATTTAAAAAAGGTAGACAATATATCTATTTTTTAAAAAAATGAATCATAATGATTTAATTTTATTTGCTTAAAAAAAAAAATATTACTGTAATCAATAAATTATTGTTAACGTTTGTTTGTTTAAAATAAATGATATGAATTCGACTTTATTTAATGAGTAAAATAATATAAAATAAAAATTGTAAATAAAATAAAATATACTATCTCAAGAGCCTTAAAATGCAAATTTACATAGATCGTGATAGATAGTATTATAATGAACTATTTCAACTCCTTTGGCTTTAATTAGATTCAATAATTTTAATTCCTCATCATTTAATTCTTTACCCAATTTCATCATACCAAGAACTTTTAAACTATTGTTACTTCTTTCAATATAATTTAAAACAATCTTAAGAAATTCTAATTCAATAATATAATTTAAACTAATCATTTCAAACCTATTGTGACAATTTTCTAAAAATTCCTTAAATTTTAAAAACTTACTGGAATTACGAGAATAACTAAATAAAAAAATTTTGCCAATATTAATTGATATATTATTTGCTAAATTTATAAAAAATTTATCAGTATCATAAAGAGTAGTAATACTTAATATTCTCGTTCTTAAATTTTTAAAAAGTTGTATCACTGATAAATCAACACGTAAACAAATTCTTATTTTTAAAAAAATAAGATTTGGACAATACATTGATATATTTTCAATAAGAGATTTTGTTGGGGTTTCAACTAATAATCTTTGTAATGATGCACCTAGATATTTGATCATTAAAGATGTGACATCAACATTCCAATAATTGAGTTTAAATGATAGTTCCTTGAGCTTAAATGAAGAAAAATTTAAACTCTCACATTGATTTAATAATATACCTTTACAATATTCAAATTTTAAATATTCTAAATTATATAAATAATTAAATCTTTTTAAACTAACATTACTAAAGTCGCATGCTGTAAATTCAACATAAACTAAAGAATGCTTTTGAAATTCTAAAGACAAAAGAATGTCATTTAATAAAGAATGACAATCCCATATCTTAAACATTTTAAGTTTGTTTTGCACTTGAATAATTGTACAAAGCTTTTCTAAAGTAGTAGTAGTAATGATCAAGTCATTGGAAGTGTCATGTTGATATGGTCTTGCGAGCTTAATTAGTAATTTGCTAGCATTTGTACAGATATTTGTTATATTCCTTAAAAATTCTTGTTCAATTTCTTCATTAACAGTACTATGATCAGTACCACTTGGTTGAAAATTTTGAAAATTTAATGATAATAAATTTAATTTTGTTAAATTTGAAGTGAAATTTTGAAAATTAAAATTTTTAAAACTTTCTTTATAAAATAAATTTATCGAAATATCTAATTGTTTAATGTTTCTACTTTGACGTAAAATTGATTGAAGAAATATTGGAATAATCTCATAATATAATTTTTTAAAAATTGATAAATCTGAAACATATTTAACAAACCATTTGTAAATAACAGAACTTATTGTATTATTATTATAATTTTCTAAATATTTTGGATATTCAAATAAAGGTTTGTGTTCTTTATCAAAATTAATATTATTAATCTGGTTTGATCCTAGTTGATTCTTCAATTGTAAAATTTCTGCTTTATTAAAGCATAAAATTAAGGTCAGGGTTATTGAATAATTTTTTTCGGTTATATTTGCAAAAGGATTTGCATAAAGCAAAGGAATAGTTGATTTACACCAAAATCGATTAACTAATAAACATTTAAATAAAGTTAAACGGTCATCTTGAAGGTGTTGTAAAATGTAATAAATACAATCATCCGTTAAATAAGGCAAAGTCATCTTAGGAATGAAGGGAGAAAAAATTTTCACGGAGTATCGGAGTAAGCCCAATTTTAGGACTATTTTAGGTCATATGGCTGTACATTACTTTTGTAATACTGTAGCACATGTTTATAAGCAGGGTCCAGATGATTGACATTCCAGGGAACTACTGTACGGTAAGTTTAGTAAAACCCTAACAGGTGACACTACTGTAGGCTTTTTGTTATTAAGTGGTTCGATAATAATAAAAATCATATAGGGCTATTCTTGGTTAACATGTTGAAATTATCTGTTATAAATAAAGGTTGGAACCGTTCAAAAAAACCTTAAATTTTTTTTTTTTTTTTTTGCTGTAAATTATATCCATCTGATTCTACTCACATATTTAGTTACAAGGGGATCCTATTTCATTATTNTATATATATATATATATATTTGAAATAACTGATCGATTTGTCTTTTTTTATATAAACAAATATCCAACGGTTAATTGGACTTGAACTGAACTTGATAATCGAACTGGTAAAAACCACCAGTAATGATCGGTGTGACTGAACTTTTTGCATCCCTAAGCTTAATTAACAATTACATGATTTTTGTTATTATCTTTCACAGTTAATAACCGTGATCTTAGTGAGATATATTACTTCTTCCAATATTAGCGATACCATATAATTATCCTAATTTTGATTTATTAGTGGATAGAATGTAGTATTGATGCGAGAATACCTAAATTATTGTTTTAATAAGAAGTTACTTATTTACAGTAGAATTTATAATTTTATTATAATAAATGATATGGTGCATGCATTGTAATCAATAACTGTTATTAGATATAAGATTTCAATTCTTCTTTTGACTGTCTTGATACTTGTTTAGGAAGAATTTTTTAAATAAATTGCTTAATTTACTTAATTTATATTTACTGCAATTATTTCTCCATTTTTGTATATTAATATGAAATCAATATTAAACTATCTTAGTATTTTATAAATGAATTTCTTCACTTTAATATAATTTAACTACTATTTGCTTATCAATATTAGTTTCGATTTTAATATCATTCTCTTTAGTTATATCCAAAATCAAAATTCCTTAATATTAGTATATAACTAATAAAAATTCTTCTGACGTTTAGAATAGTCTCCATATAAAGAATTGTATAATGCGAAACACGTGATATTACTGGAGTCATGTGTAAGTTACAATTGCCAATCAGAGAGATTTGTGTAGATATACGACATTAATTGCAAAGAAAGAAAATCTAGAGATTAATTAAAATATGTCCCGAGCTTTTCAATATTAACGATATTCGAGCGAACGTCAAAAATACGAACTGATTATTGCCGTTTTCAGAAATGTTGACAATCTGAAATTTTGACCATTTTATACCGAACACACCGAACACACCGTGAACACATACAAAAAATTATGCAAACTTGAAGTATTCATGCATAACTTTATATAAAAACTATTTTTGTCACTTTTTAGATATGAATAAAATTGAAAATATGAAAATTTGTACCGAACACACACCGATCACACCGAACATTGGCAAATACAAGCAAATACAAGTGAATACATATATGCAAATAATATAATTTTTATACATTTTTTTATGCACACTACCTAAAAATATATTACTAAAGTTTTAATTTTGCTTTTTTTAAAGGAAAATTTGTTTTTTTTTAATTTTAATTGCTGTGTTCGGTGTGTGTTCGGTGTGTTCGATTTATAGAAATGATCGACATTCTAATGTCAACATTTCTGAAAACGGCAATAATTTCGTTTTAAAATCAAAAAATGAAAAAATTGGTTCGATTTTGATCACGTGACCGCAGGTGTATACTTCTGGCCCGCATTATATATCTCTGACCAGAATTATGGTCCAAATAATTTTACCAGCCTTAGTCGGTAATTACTAATTATCTGATTAACATTAACAGGTTCCAACTTCTACTAGTTATGAAAAGAGAAAATTTATAGCATACATAATCGCCAATTTCCAAAAATAATACTGTGTATATTGCTTTCTCTTTTTAAATTAATAAAGACAATCCCACATTCACAATATTACGTGTAAAAAAATATTTTCAGATGAATAATCGTGCTAAATGAATACAAACTAGTATGAGATTTATGCTAGTGAAATATTTTTGTAAGAATGAAAGAATCGGGATAGTGGCGTGTCGGTCTTATTGGTTTACCCGTTAATTTTGTAAATTTTACATTCCTGCATCTTAGAAATAAGTAAAGTTCTTCAACTGGTAGTATGAAAAACTTAGATATTAAATTTTGTAATTTTAGCTGGAGATGTAGAGCATAATTTTGATACTTTGACTAGTAAAACTTTTCTTGGGAGACAAATTGGAGTTATTCTTCACGTCATAGAATTATTAAGTAACATGTACTGGATAAGTGATATGAGCATTATCAGTTTAAAGTACTAACTACTATGGTATTTATGTGATAAATTATTATTTAATCACTCTTCCTATTTACAATATAATTTCAATTTTCAACACTTTAACCAAATAAAGCATGTCCTGAGAAGAGAAGAGTTATGGTAAGAAATTCTGATTAAAATCTGCAGAGAATTTTACATAGCGTGAAACCATCATGGAAATCTAAGTAGAACCAATATTTCCTGTGACGAAACATGTGGAGTGGGATTCACAGAGTTCACACGTGGATTGATGTCTAATTATATTTATTTTTACTCACCTTAGGAACTGAACCAAATACCTCAACTTATACTATTAATAAGTCGTACCTCATGATCTAACCACTATACTATTTGATTTTTTTTAATAATTACCTAGATTATATCTTATATTTATTCTTGAGCCGCAAGAAAAAAAATTTATTATATAATAAAATATTCGTTCTATGATATTCTTTCTATTTAATTTATATCTGTATGTTTTAACTAGTAGCACTGTTATACTGTGCTATTAACAATTTCTTGGAATTCCGCAGCAATATCTGCAGATGAATCCCACATATCCTGCTAAAGAATTCTATGATGGTATTTCTACTATGAAATGTGTGGTTTTGTGCGGATACTTGTCCACGCAATTCGATGTGTAGAATTCCACGTGTTTTCAGACTAACCTACGTGGTTTTTAGTGGATCGATCTACCTAAAAATTTCCTGATGTAAAATTTCTTTTAAGAATAATCAATATATGAAAAATTTTGTTATTTTAACATTTAAAAAAGGTAGACAATATATCTATTTTTTTTTTAAAAAAAAATCATAATGATTTAAATTTATCTGCTTAAAATAAAAAAAATTACTGTAATCAATAAATTATTGTTAACATTCGTTTGTTTAAAATAAATGATATTAAATTTGACTTTATTTAATGAGTAAATAATATAAAATAAAAATTGTAAATAAATAAAATATACTATCTCAAGAGCCTTAAAATGCAAATTTACATAGATCGTGATAGATAGTACTATAATTAACTATTTCAACTCCTTTGGCCTTAATTAGATTCAATAATTTTAATTCCTCATCATTCAATTTTTTACATTTCATCATACCAAGAACTTTTAAACTATTGTTACTTCTTTCAATATAATTTAAAACAATCTTAAAAAATTCTAATTCAATAATATATTTTAAATTAATCATTTCAAACCTATTATGACAATTTTCTAAAAATTCCTTATATTTTTTATATTTTAAAAGCCTACTGGAATTACGAGAATAACTATTAATAAAAATTTTGTCAATATTAATTGATATATTATTTGCTAAATTTATAAAAAATTTATCAGTATCATCACAAAGAGTACTAATACTTAATATTCTCGTTCTTAAATTTTTAAAAAGTTGTATCACTGATAAATCTATATGCGAATCAATTATTATTTCTAAAAAAATAAGATTTGGACAGTATATTGATATATTCTTAATAAGAGAACTTGATGGGGTTTCAACTAATAATCTTTGTAATGATGCACCTAGATATTTGATCATTAAAGACGCGACATCAACATTCCAATAATTGTGTTTAAATGATAGTTCCTTGAGCTTAAATGAAGAAAAATTTAAACTCTCACATTGATTTAATAATATACCTTTACAAGATATAAATTTTAAATATTCTAAATTATATAAATAATTAAATCTTTTTAAACTAACATTACTAAAGTCACATGCTATAAATTCAACATGAACTAAAGAATGCTTTTGAAATTCTAAAGACAAAAGAATGTTATTTAATAAAAAATGACAATCCCATATCTTAAACATTTTAAGTTTGTTTTGCACTTGAATAATTGTACAAAGCTTTTCTAAAGTAGTAGTAGTAATGATCAAGTCATTGGAAGTGTCATGTTGATATAGTGGTCTTCGAATTTCAGGAAGCTCAATTATTAATTTGCTAGCATTTGTACAGAAATTTGCTATGTTTCTTAAAAATTCTTGTTCAATTTCTTTATTAACAGTATTATCAGTACCACTTGAATGAAAATTTAATGATAATGAATTTAATTTTGTTAAATTTGAAGTGAAATTTTGAAAATTAAAATTTTTAAAACTTTCTTCATAAAATAAATTTAACGAAATATCTAATTGTTCAATGTTTCTACTTTGACGTAAAATTGATTGAAGAAATATTGGAAAAATATTATCAACACAGAAAATTGGTAAATTTGGAATATATTTAGCAAACCATTTAGAAATAACAAAATTTATTATAAAATTATTACAATTTTTCAAATATTTTAAATATTTTGGATATTCAAATAAAGGTTTGTGTTCTTTATCAAAATTGTCAAAATTAATATTATTAATCTGGCTTAGTCCTAGTTGATTCTTCAATTGTATAATTTCTGCTTTATTAAAGCATAAAATTAAGGTCGAGGTTATTAAATAATTTTTTTCGGTTGTATTTGCAAAAGGATTTGCATAAAGTAAAGGAATAGTTGATTTACACCAAAATCGATTGACTAATAAACATTTAAATAAAGTTGAATGATCATTTTGAAGGTATTGTAAAATGTAATAAATACAATCATCCGTTAAATAAGGTAAAGTCATCTTAGGAATTAGAATGGAAAAAAAGTTTTCACGGAGTATCGGAGTAAGCCCAATTTTAGGTTATATGGCTGTACATTACTTTGTAATACTGTAGCACATGTTTATAAGCAGGGTCCAGATGATTGACATTCCAGGGTACTACTGTACGGTAAATTTAGTAAAACCCTAACACTACCGTAGGCTTTTTGTTATTAAGTAGTAAAAAATCGTATATGGCTATTCCTGGAAACCGTTCAAAAAAAACCTTTGTCTAATAACCGTTTGGATTAGTCTCCGTATAAATTTGAATTGTGTAACTTGAAATCCCGTGCCATATAATTAAAACCCGTGATATGCCTCCGCCTGATCTATTTATAGTCAAAAACTATTCGATCCATGTGCATTCCAATCAACCAATCCAATTTCAGTTAATAAAATTTTACCTTAATCGGAATTTTTTTTTTTGATTAATTTTTTTTGTCCGATTTTTTTTTTCAAATATTTGTAACTTTTCTTTCAGTTTAATTTTTTTTCAAACCAAAACCGAAAAATTTGTTTTTACTCATTTTTTTCCCGTTTAGGTTTAATTTTTTTTCCCAAACTGAAAAAATTTTTTTTTATTAAATAAAGTTCCCCATCCATCTACGGAATATCTCAAGATCCTATTACAGAAGATTATATTATAGTTTCTGAAAATAAATATTGCAAAAAATGTGATAAAGATCCCCATTGTTTTGGTCTTTTAAGACCAATTTTTTTTATATTATTTTTTTTTAGACCATATTGTTATTTTTTTTAAAAAAAAATTTTTTTTTTACTCTTTTTGGATCGGATTATTGTCCTTTTTTTTTCGGGATTTTTTTTCGGAAATTTCCCTTTTTTTCAAACTTATTTCTTTATCCTTTTTCTTTTCCCCAAATTTTTTTTTTAATTTTTTTTTCTTTTTCTTTCAAATTTTTTTATTATTAAATAAAAAATAAAATATTATATTAAATATATTTACAAATTATTATTTTTTTTAAAAAAATCAATATAACATATCAGATATAGGAAAATTAACAGACGTTGATAGAAAGATGAGTAAGATTTTTTCAATTAAATTGAACGCTGGATAAATAGTTTGATTTTCAAATTCATAAAAATCAATTAATCAATTATAAAATATGTAAAAATATCAATTTTTTTTGAAGAAATTGTTGATTTAATAATAGATTATTATAACCAAATCCATATCCGAAATTTGTTTCCGTTTTATTATCAATATTTGAGGAATTACTTTTCATTTAATTGGTTGGAAAATTTGAAAAAATTAATAATCTAGTTTTTTTTTTTTGACCTCTAAATAACCGCCAAATTTTTGAATAAAGATTTTAATTCAAATGGTTTAGTAAAATTAATAATTTATCGAGCAAAAATGAGCATCAAAAGAATAATAATAAATGAAATGAATTGATTCTAATACATTTAATTATTCAAATATTTTTCCTAAGTTGGTTATAAGTTTAAGATTGACGTAATATAAAATAAGAAATAAAATTTATAATTAATTAATAGTATTTTCATAATATTAAAGTTTTTTCGAAAGTACTTCTAAAAAATTAAACAAAAAAATGAGGGTGAATGGAAAAATAGGGAGAGTAAAAGGGAATAAAAGAAACGAAGGGGGAGTGATGGAAGAACGAAATGGAGCAAAGGGGAATAAAAAAATTGAAAGGAACGAAGGGTAGTGTAAAGGCATGAAAAAGACGAAAGGAACGAAGAGGAAATAAAAAACAACGGAAAAAATGAAGGAAGGGAAGAATAAAATGAGCAAAAGAAATGAAGAGACAAAAAAATGGAGAAGTGACGAAAATGAAGTTAGTAGGGAACGGAAATTACATGTAATAAATAAACAAAAACAAGAAAATAAAAAACATACCTTAGTAGTTACAAAGAAGAACCGAAAGACCTAAAAAGAATGAAATACAAAATGTAAGAAACGAAATCTTAAGAATGGAATAAAAAATAACTGATAAGAAGAAACGGCCATATAGTGCTGGTCATATCTTAATTGCAAAATCGAAAGAACCAAAGGACCTAAAAAACGAAATAAAGTTAGTAGGAAACAAAATGCAAGAAGCAAAAATGAAAAAAAAGCCGTGCAAAGGAGTGAAAGAACCTAAAGGAAAAAAGATTATCCGAATACGTTTTAAAAAAAATGAACAATGTAAGGCTGGGGTCCAATAACCTTACGTGAATATCCTTTTATTAAATGAAATAATTAATATTCATAATAAAAATGAATAAAAGTAATAAAATAAAAATAGAATTCATCTAATAAATGAATATTTTCCATGAAATTCAATTAAATAAATGATTTTCATGAAATCAACTAAAAATAATATTAAAAATAAAATACGATAATTTCTCCTTCCGTTTTTATAAAATAAAATTATTTCCCATAAAAATTCACCAAAACCCATTTTCAAAATTATTTCATTAATTATTTCCCAAAAATCCAAATAAACTTGGTACCTTCCGACTAACAGAACCTATAAAGGTTCAAGCGGTTCACCCTAAACTACTAAGAAAGTTATTTGAAATCTAAAATTTTAAGGTTGAAGATTATGTCAAAGTGGTCAAACTTCACTTTGTTATATATTCCTTTTTGTAAAAATCTTTAACTTCTGCCAACGTAATTCTAAGTAATTATTCCATAAATGTGTTTTTCATATCACTCAAAATTAAACCAATAAAATTAATTATTTCCCAAAATTATATAAAAATAAAATTAAAAATTGAACTATGTAACGAAACGTTACATATGAGTCATTTTAGTCTCATGACCTACTGAAGGTAATTATTTTAATAATTATTTGCCATTTAATATTTTCGTTTCTATTTTTAATAATATCATCTTTTCTAATTTGTGAAATAACAAAAGAACAAGAAGGTAATATAAAATTGATTTTTTTTTGCTTTATTTATAAAATCTTTAATAATTACTTACTATTATAAGGAATACTAAAATCATATGGTTTACTATGATATGCTATTAATAAATATGATTTTTTTTATTAAAGTTAAATTAAATATTTACATCGCTTACTAATAAATGTTTTTATTTTTAGTTGATGATTTTGGCAAATCAAGTAATTGGAATACATCAAAAATAAGTAGTATTATCAAAGGTAATTTATTATTAATTTTAAAAAAGAATAAAATGAATATTATATAAAAATTTACTAATTGATATTTTAAATTTTAGATATTAGCGAAAAATTATCCAAAGTATTTAAAAAATTGCGGATAAGTTCAAAGTAAAAATTTAATAAATTAATTCTAATTTAATTTAATAATAAAATAACATTTTATTAAATTTGATTTGTTTTAATAATTTTAATAATCACAGATAATCAAAATGATTATAATAAAAAAACAGTGCTAACACAAAATGTCAATAATGAAGGTAAGCAAAACATTTTTTGGGCACCTTTTTTAGATAATAAATTAATAGATGAAGATGAAGTATATAATAATCCAAAGCTTCATTCAAAGGAACAAGATGAATTTGAAATTCCTGATGGTTCGTCTATTCTTTAATATTATTAATAATATAATAAAATAATAAAATTTTTTTATTTATTAATTTATTTATTTTTTTTTAGACGGATTTTAAACTATTTTTACAAATTTTATTGATAGGAATATCGATCAATTATTATTTTATTTGGAATTATTTAAACACTAAGATTATTAGAGTATTGGGTAGTTTCTTAATTTGTAATTTAAATAATTCTTTTCATATATATATATATATGTTGTAGGTGGAAACGGAATCTATGTGGATTCCGAATCCACATATGTGGATACGGGATTTTGGTCAGAATTAAAGCATAGTACCGGACTAGGATTTCGTAATGCTGGCCAAGATCCGATTTCCGCCGGTATTCAGAAACCATATACAACATATATATTAGAACTTATTCATTTATTAAATAAAAATATTTACAAATTTATTATATATATTATATACTACAAAATATATTAATTTTAAGTATTAATATGCTAATTACTTTAATTAAATACGATCATGAATCATCAAAACCGAAGATCTTATGGTTCAGATCACGGTAACGGAGGTATCAGTAACAAGAATAATGGCGTAAGTTCAAACTTGAGTAGTGGTAATAATGAAAAGATAACATCGCTACGATATCCTCCAAGGCGACAAGGTGATGTGGAAGGTGAGAGGAAAAATGAAAGTGTTAGCGGTGGTGATAAATATTGATCCCGGTATTAAGTACTCGCGAAAAGAAGATGAGCGGTATTTCATAATTTCGGATATCATAATGGACTTCAACCGCAAAGCAACTTTTACGCAACAGTTTTCTCTCAATGAAATTCAGGTTTTACCTTGAACTCTTGAACTTTTGATCGTGGATTAAAAACGTTTGAAAGATTATCCTTTCGTACAGTCAGTAATTTATTATTTAGACAATTTAAAACTCAAAACCTCAAGACCGCATACGAATTTAACAAAAATACATACATGGCAGCAGCGGGGTGACAACGCGTAGGAATTTGATAGGAGGGGTGGGGTTATTTTTTTTAATTATTCTTTGACAAAATATTTACTAAAGTTTCATTTTTTCAGTTCTCTTTTTTAGGTGGTTTATTCAGTGTCCTTATACGGGGTGTATTTTTTAATCACTTTATTTATTTTAGCAAAACAGTAACTAATGAATTTTTATTCTTTTTAGGCAATTTTTCAGAATCACTTGACGTGTGGATTTTGTGAGAAAGGCTGTATTTATTCATTCAATGAAACATTATACTATCGTTTTGACTTTTCTCTTTTTGATTAGAAAAGTATTTTGAGCATAATGTTTTGGAATACTTATGACCACATAAATATACAATACTAAGCGTACATGTATGTGCTGATGTTCACTAAACTTCTTTTATTAAAATAATGCATCGTTAACTTTTTTTTTCATTCTTTAAGATCAAATGTCTCTTATTTTTTTTTGGCGCAATTTGTGAATGAATATTTTATTGTTTTTTTCAACGAAAAATTCTTCTTGTAGTACAGTGTGATCGTTCAATAACACAGCCATAGCTTAATTTATTAAGTATTCGCTAGAAAAAAATTTTCCAAATACATGATTATTTTCTACTAATTTAATAAAATATTTAATGATACTGTACATTTTAATTGACTCAAAGAAAATAACAATGATATTCAAATGAATATTATAGGTTACGGTACATTTCGCCGAAATTGATTGTACCGAAACCCATTTCGCTGAAACCATTTCACTGAAGAGATGTTTCACAGAAGAAATGTTTCGCTGAAAGGACGTTTCACTGAAAGTGTATTTTATCGAATCCATTTCGGCGAATCGTCCATTTCGCTGAATTCGAATGAATATTTTGCCAAAAATGGTAGCGATTAACATTTTTAAAAAAATATTCATCGCGCAATAAAAATTATTTTGATCTTTTTTTTCAGGATATTATCACTTTAACATAGAGGTTGGATCCGTAGAAAGTATCCGCAAATTTTAATTATATACAAAAAATACGAATACCGTAAGTTTTCGAAAATAAATGATGTAATTAAATTCTAGGAATTATAATATACGTTGACATTTGCAATTCGTGGTATAAAACCTTTTCAAGTTAATATTACTGGTCACTAAGAAAAAGGATTGGTGGTTAATTTTAATACCTTAATTATTATTATATTTTTTTGTGCTCTCATAAGTACTTATATTAAGGTTTTGAATTTATTAAAATTTAATTATTATCATTATTATTATTTATAGTGACAATTGAAATTATTTAATGATTTATACTTGTGAAAATGAAAATTTTTCATTTACACGTGATTGTTGACTAAAAATTGAAAAATTTCGATATTCTGATTTTTTGAGTATTACATCAGGAAATGTCGGTTCACATAATTCCACATAGGTTTGTATCGGGAACATGTGGAATTTCATATATCCTACATTGAATTTTGTGGAATTTGTGGATCTACGCCGAAAATACCACGCGTTTCACTTTTTTGTCACAGGGGTATTTGGAAAATATTAGAACTATTCAGATTTCCACATATTTCCGATGTGGATTTCCATGTGGATACTAGGTGAAAAAAATTTCCTGATGGGATTGTCCTAATCTTATCGAGCTTTTTTTTTTTTTAAAAAAAAAAAAAGAAAATAACATTTAATATGGAAACATAGCACCATTTAAACACTCCAATTCCAATAAATCCATTAATTTTCGTTTAAAATAAATACATTTATGGAAAGAATCACTAAGGAGTATGTTTATTACGATAGTTCGCCTTTTGCAGATAAGATTTTATTAAGATCAAGATTTAATTTTTATTAGGGTTATCATAATCATGTGAATAATCAGCGCATCTGAATAATCGACAACTCGATGAGTCTTACAATAACATTGCTAATATGAATATTCCCACGATAGGTACAACAGGCAGATAAATCAAATTCTATTTTCAGAATCCAATTTCTATATGTTTTAAAAAGGCGACTGTGCATTAGGTATTATAGAAAGCAATTATTGCTCAGCACTATCATATGAATACAATTTAAAGTTATCGTGTGTAGCATGAAATAAGGAGAAAACAATAAATTAGTAAGAAAATTTTTTTATTACGAACTGTAATAACAGTTAGGTGTTTAAAATTTTATTTCCATAAACAAAATAAAAAAATGAAAGGGGTAATCGATATATCAAGTACAGAATTAAATGAATTAAACCAATTGGATAACTTACCGCAGTAATATCTTTTCAACTTGGGCTTAGAACGGATTGGAAAGCAAGAAAGGTGTTTTTATTAATTGACTTTAAAGAAACATTTATAACGTTTTATTGCTTGTTTTTTTTTCAAGGGACTCCATATTATTTATATAACTAAGATTAGGAAACATGTCAATTTTTTTTTTTATTTATTTGACTTTAAAAAAACGTTTTAACGTTTCGTTTCTTTTTTATTCTAGGGACGCAAAGTTTCTTGTACAAACCGTACTTTTAAAGGTAAATTATGAAGGAGAGGCGTGTGTTTATTTATTTATTTTATTTATTTGAATTTATAGGACCATTTCTAACGTTTCATTTCTTGTTCTTTCTAGGAATGCCAGATTTTTGTGCAAGTTAGACTTTAAAGATAATTAGAAAGGGAAGGTGTATTTGGTATTTTTTTTTTTTTAATTGATTAAAAAATGTTTTTTACGTTTCATTTCTTGTTTTTATTTCTAGGGATGCAACTTGGACAAGCAATTGGATAAATGAAGACTTATTCAGGTCTTAGGTTTTATTAATTCATCTATTCAATTTATTAATTTTGTAAAAGAAATGTATTATCTTCTAATTAGGATAATTGGGTGTTAGGATAGAAAAAAATTTTTTAATTGTCGTCATTATCTTATATCGTCATTATCTTATAGAAAAATAAAAATTAATCTATTGTGTAATCGAGTATTTGTTGCCAAAGTTATTTATCATGGTTATCATCGTCCAAGAAAAATAAGAGTACCTTGGTCGTACTTTCGTGAGTTGATCGTTGCTTTTACCAACTAATTCCGTGTTCTAATACTTACGTATATCTAAATGCATTTATTCATCGACTTATCTGTAAAACAGCAGTCACAATGATATTCATTTTCTGGTATCAACGTTTATATGTGTTTTCTCAGTTGTATTGTTTCTATCGATGATTAATGTCCGAAGACTCTATATTATAACAGGTTGACAATCGCTAAATTTCACGCCTTTGATGTTCGTTACTTGATAAGCGTTCGATTATTATCCTGGAAATATCCTTTATTTCATGATGCCAAAAAGGCGAAAGATTCATTTGTTGCTCTTCAGTTTTCGGGTGACGATATTTATATTTTATAAATGTGACGAATAAATTTATCTGGCCAACAAGATACATTAATAATTACTACTTGAAAATTCGAAAAATTCGAAATAACAATATTATAATTTATAACTCAACATTAATTATATTTATTTGAAATTTTCAGGATATGATACGTACAATAATTCATTATTTATCCAATAAAATAGAATTTTTAATTAATAGATAAATAAAATAAAAAAGCTTACTTAACTTTTCAAAGTCGACACAGTCGACAAATGATGTTGCGTCAATTATATTATTCATCGTAATATGAAGTTGGCCTCACAAATTATTTTTTTTCGGGATTTCATCGTCTTTTTTGGTTAATTTCTTACTTAGAAGATACTTGCATTAAGAATAATATTTCTTTTTTATTATATATTATTCGAAAATCATTATTCGATAAAAGAGTATATTCTTGCATGTTCTTGCATCCTCCGTAAAAAAAGTCAATCCGTTTTTTATATTCCATCTTTTTTCCGTAAAAGGCTCATATTTCCGGAATGAATAACCTTATATCGCGGAATTTATCGAATTATTTTCCGTGAATGGATCCATGAAAGGCTCATTTTTACGGAGTTTTTACAGAAATCACGGATAAAATTTTTTATAGGGTATATCAAAATATTGTATCTTATAAATGCCGTTAACTCATCTGTAATGTTATATGTGTGTTATGATCAGCTTCTCGGTAATTACAATAAACATGGATATTGTGATATCATACGGTCACCTTGACTCAATTTTCATAATGATAATATTCGCGAGGATTTATTCTAAGAGAAGCGATATGTACTGTATATTGAAAAATTTGTTATAATGTTAATTTTCATAAATATGCAAGAAATTGGTTTGTTCGTTAAAAAATATGATACTTTGAGTTTAAGTTGTTATGGTATTTAAAAGTTTCGGGATATGTGGGTGGATATGTGATTTTTTTTAATGAGCCACGTAGGTCACGTGAGAAGTGTGGCATATTTAGCACGAAATGAAAATATATAATACTGTAATGAAAAGAAAGTGAGATAAGATATTATAGTAAAAATCAATCGTATAGAATAAAATTGTGGATCATATTTAATATTTAAATCCGCCTTGCCTTCTTTATGATCACGTGACTTTATTAAGTATTTAGATCGAAATGTATCGAAATACTTACGATCATTTAAATTTATGAAAGTTTACTTATTAAAAATGTCGAAGCAAAAAATAAAAAAGGTGAAGATTTTATTCTACTTACCACAAGAATAAGTCCAATATTAGAAGTTCTAAATACTTAATATACATAATATTATAGTACTAATTATATCAAGAATAATAAATATTATGAATAAATTAATGAATAATAAATTTAAATTAAATTAAAATTAAATTATAATTTTATGAAGCCATATAAAAATATTTGTTAACAATATCAGACTCTCTCGAATGAGAATATTTGAGATTTGAATCATTATCATTTTCGTTAACTGGTAACATATCAAGAACCACTTCTTTCGTTTCAGTAATTATTATCTTATTATTAAGATCAACCCCTTTGATCATTTCCAAATCACCCTCTTTAGTCATCTCCAAATAACCTTCTTTAGTCATTTCCAAGTCACCTTCTTTGATCATTTCTAATATAGGATTATCATCAATAGTAATAGTAGCATCGGAAAAGTCGGTAGCGTCGGAAGTAACAGTAGTAATAGTAGCATCGGAGGCATCAGAATATTGACGAATTAAATGAATTTCCGTCATTTGAGAACCATGTAGAATTTCCTTTGGTTGTATACATTTATTTGATGGAAGAGAGGAAACAGGACTTGTAGTGGTATTAGCCAAAATATCAGCTTTTTCATCGTCATAAATAGTATCGGAAGGGGAAATTATTGATGATAATATTTGACTAAAGTTAACTTTAGATTTTTTTTTACTTCGTCTAATACTACTACTAAAATTATTTGATTTTTTATTATTTTTTTCAGATAGAATCAAAGAGTTAATATCGTTTTTAACTTTACCACTTTTAGCATATACAAAATAATTTCTATTTCCCTTTGATATAGTTGAAACAGGAGATTCGGAAGATTTAAGTTCAGGTTCATTTTCATTTTCATTTTCTTTTTCATTTTCATGTACAGGATCAAGTTGAGAAATTATTATTTTATCCGAAGGATAAACGGAAGACTTATTATCATCATAACTACTAGCATCCGAAGGATAAATAGAGGACTTATTATCACTATAACTACTAGCATAATTATTTGTATAATAATCTAATGAAAATATTCCTTCATCAGTATTTGTTGGGTGAGAGATGCTTGTAGAGTGATTAAGATTTTTTGTAAGTGATTTTATTTTTTTTAATTTTCTACGATACATGTATAATATTGCTCCTATTATAGTTATAAAAACAAATACTGAAATAATTATTGAGAAGTGTATTTTCATATATTCGGTACTTTCGGAGGGTAAATTAGTAGTATATTGTTGGTTGACATCACCATAGTCTCTTCGTAATAAATTCATTATATTATTATTATTATTATTATTTGTAAATGCACCTCGTAAATCGTAATACTAATACTACTATTACTATTATCAATTACCCTTTCAAAGAGTAAATACCATCTTCACGGAAAAGAGGAGAGAAAGAAAAGTTTTTTAAGAATCAAAAATGATAATAATGTACGTTAAAGAATAAAATGAATGTAATATAACGATTATAATTCATAACAAACTTTTATATTTCATTAAAGGAAGAAAAGTGGGAATCTATATATACGTATGAGTGATTTTTTTTTCTTTTATAATTCTTTTATAGAATAAGAAAAATTAATTTCATTCTCCTTATTTTTATTTCATTAATATAAAATTTGATAAACAAGCTTATAAGATTTTCTTGATTTACATAAATTACATCAATTCTTTTCATTGAAGATTAACAGATCGATGTGATCATCAAGTTACATGAAATAATTTTAAAAAAATGACATGATAATCATATGTTAAGGAATGTGAAATATACATAATTAAAATTCCAAGTATCGCAAATAAATTCTTTTTTTTTTTTATAATATAAATATTATTCTGACAAAAATTTTAACTTTTTTTTTTCGTTATTATTATTATTATTGTTTTTGTTTTTGTTTTTTCTTCTTCTTCTTCCATGCATCACATTATTAGTTACATAAAAATTTGTTACACGAAAATCAAAAGTATTTAAAACGTTCTAATTTCTTATATTCTCATTCTAAAAATTAAAAATAAAAAATAAAATTATTGAAAAAGTTATCACATTTTCAGTATACTTGTTTTAGATATATAATTTCACGAGCATCCAATTAGTGAAAGAAAAGTAAGAAAAGTTCATTTTAAAAATTTCTAATTGATCAGCCAAAATTCTTGAATCACTGTAGATACATACTGTACTTGTTGTACGCCCGTTTACATACATGGTTAAAACTCCAATAGGACTTATTTCATGACTATCATTAACTATATGATCATATGATCATTGAAACTGCACGTGAAAAATAAAAAAAAATGTGGCAAAAAAATAATTAAAAATTTCCCTTATTTTTTTATTTTTTTTTTTTCATTTAAAAAACTGTTACATCGAATAATTATTTGTATTACCATTAAATAATAAACGAATAATAGAAAAACTTTTTTCAAAATATATCGGATAAGGTCCGAAATAACTTTTCAAAGCCATAATTTTTTTTTTTTTTGTATGTTCGGAATTCCAAAAATGGTTACAAGCTCGTATGCTCGTATGATTGTTTTTTTGTTTTTTTTTCAAAAGTCGTACAAAGGGCATTCACCAATTACGATCTTTTTGGCTTAATTTGTTATCAATTGACAATTTTTTTTTCTTTATACCAGATACATTAATATTATGTAGACAAAGAGACAAAGAAATAAATAAATAATTGTTTTAAATTAATCATACAAATTAGTCAATTACTATATTCTAATAGATATATCCATTTTTGATTCTTCGATGCAAAAAAATTAAGGTTACAAAGCAAACAAAGCAAACAAAGCAAAACGATTCTAATCGTACACACAATGTGTTACCGATGAATGTGGTTATAAATTACCTTAATTATTCTTAGTTTCAAGAATTTATCATTAGATGCATATCCACATGATCAAATAATGATCTACATGACGAACGGGCTTTTAAAAATGAGATGATCATCCCCCGGATTTTTTTTTTCCTTCTCTATTCCCTTCTCTTTTATTTCCCCTCCTTCCCCTCCCCCCCTTTTTTTTACTTTTAAATTATGGCATGTTCAAAATCAGTTTTTAGTGATTTACCAGAATTAGTATATGAAATTATACAATATCTTCATAATGATTATAAAACTTTAAGTTCATGTATTTTGGTTAATAGATTATGGTGTCGTTTAGCAATACCTTTATTATGGGAAGATCCATTTTCTACTTTTACCAAAAATTGTAATTTTATTGAAATTTATTTACAATATTTAGATGATAAAGATAAAGAAAAATTAAAAGATTATGGTATTAAAATTAATAATTCATTTAATTTAAATACTTTATTATTTAATTATCCTAATTTTATAAAAAATTTAAATACTTGTAAAATTGTTTATTCTATTGAAAAATGGATTTTAGCTTTTAAACGTAATCAAAATAAAAATTTATTACCTCCTATATTTACTACAACTTTATATTATAAACCTTTTCTTAATGATATAGATTATACTATACCTGAATTTGATGTTAATTTAAATTTTATTCGTAGATCTGATTTTAATTTACCTCCTATCACAAATTTAATAAATTCTACTGGATCAACGCAATCATTTCAATCAAATCAATCAAATCAATCAGATCAATCAGATCAAGCCATTCAGCGATCATTACAATCATTTCATGATGACGTTCAATCTTTACGATTATTTAAGGACGATGTTCAATCAACTTCATCGTTGAGATCATTTCAGGACGACGTTCAATCAACTCGATCGTTGCAGGACCAATCGTTGCGGTCATTTCAGGACATCAAATCAACTCGATCGTTGCAGGACCAATCGTTGCGATCATTTCAGGACATCAAATCAACTCGATCGTTGCAGGACCAATCGTTGCGGTCATTTCAGGATGTCCAATCAACTCAATCGTTGCAGGACGTCCAATCGACTCAATCGTTAAGGTCTCAATCAGCCCAATCATTGCGGTCATTTCAGGACGTCCAATCAGCTCAATCATTACGATCATTTCAGGACGTTCGATCGACTCAATCGTTGCGGTCATTTCAGACTGTCCAATCGACCCAATCATTGCGGTCATTTCAGACCGCCCAATCAACTCAATCATCTCAATCTACTCAACCAACTCAATCAACTCAATCTATTCAACCAACTCAATCAACTCAATCTATTCAACCAACTCAATCAACTCAATTTACTCAACAAACTCAATCTATTCAACCGACTCAATCAACTCATTCTACTCATCTAACTCAATCAACTCATTCACTTCAATCACTTCAATCATTTTCACCAACTCAACCATTACCTCAAAATATTACTTCACTTTTTAAAAATGGAAAAAAAGGATTAATTTATAAATTATTATTTAAATTATTTATTAAACACGAAGCGAAATTACATACTTTTGAAGTATTCTTAATGAGAATTAAAGAATATAAATATTTTAATAACATTTATGATTTAATATTAGAAAATCCAAAATTTATTCGTTCTATTAAAAATTTAAAACTTGCCTTTTATAATAAAGGTACATCAAATTTATCAAAAATTGATTCTTTTATAACATTTTTATCATCAAATTGTGATTCAATTTCATCACTTTACCTTCAATTTCAATTTCGTAATAATAATATTTTAATTGAAAAATTTTCTTCCCGTATAATTAATTCACAAAAAAATATTAAAAGAATATTTTTCGTTCATAATACTTTTTCTTTAAATACTTCTTTATTATCATTAAAAAATTTTTATTATTCAAATAATTTAAAAACTATAACATTTTTTAATGTTAATTTTAAAAATATTATAATTATAAAAGAAGTATTTGAACAATTAAAAGTTTTAGAATCAATTCATATACTTTATTGTCAATTTATAAATTCTTTTATTAAACAAATTATTAAAATGATTGGACCTTTTAAATTAAGATCATTATTTTTAGATAAAATTATTAAATTAAATTCTTTTAATTCTTTATTACAAAAATCTGGTAATTATTTAGAAAATTTTGGTCTTGGTACTATATCAAAAGATGAATCAAAAAAACATTTACTTGAATTAATTATAAAATATTGTAAAAATATCAAATTTTTTGATTTACCAGAATTTGATAATCAAGATAATATTTATTCCGCTTTAAATTTAATTAAAATTCTTGATCAAAATCTTAATTATCTTTTTATAGAATTTTTTGATTTAAATTTAAATTCAAATAAAATTAGTTCAATTTTATTAAAAGAATTAGGTCAATTATTACCTATTAAATTAGAATATTTAAAATTATCTTTAATTATTAATATAAATGATTTTAAAATTTTTTTATTAAATTCTCAAAATACTTTTATTAAAAAATTTCTTATTAGAAATAAAATTAAATTATTAGGAAATTTTGATGATTTTTTATCTTTAATAGATGATTATATTATTAAATTTAAAAAGGTTAAATATTTAGCTTTTAAAGAAGATTTTATTGAAGGGAGAGATTTATTTTTATTAAAAGATTATGTTAAAAAATTTGAATTATATAATATTAAAATTCAAAGTTATGATGATTTAGATACTTATAATAGTTATAAACATGTAAAAGAGACATATTAGTGGATTTTTTTTCATAGTATAATGTTATGTTATTAGTAGATTTTTTTCATGTTTTAGTAGTAAAATGTTATGTAGAAAAAGTCATGTTTTAATAAATAAATAAAAGATTTTAAAAAACTTCTATCGACTTTCTTTTTTTTGTGCGACCTTGAATTTGGTTTATCGTAATTGAAAGAACACCATATTTACGTTGAAACTAGCACTTGGTATATAATATATATAATACGTAATTACGTCCCTATTATACGATTTAAATATTTTCACAATAGCTAAATATTGTTCCACTAAAATATGACGCCAAATATGCACGTTCGTTAAATTCATTAAACGAGTCGCATTCGTTTCACCAACAATCACCAACTGACAGGGTCATTTCACAGACAAATGTTTGCCGACAATCATCTCATCGTAGAGGTAAGGAAATTAGGGATATATTAGGGTTAGAATTAGGGTTAGAGTAAGGTTAGGATAAGTTGGATTAAGAGTGACAGTCAGTAAATGAATCCTGTCATTTAAATGAAATGATTGTCGGTGAAACGTCTGTCGACGAGTGATAATTGTCAGTGAAAATGATTGACGGTAAAATTATTTGTCGATGAAACAGAACCAGAACCCATTCAACTCATTGTACAGTATTTCTAATACTGACGATCTTTCACTTTAAGTTTACGACATTATTGTAAACATTGTATTTTTAATACTGTGACGAAGAGGCCAATTAATTGTAAAATTAACAAAATTTAAAACTAATAAGAAAAGTAAATTAAAATTATTAAAAAATGTATAATTTTCCTGTAACTTAAATCTTTTTGAATGGTAAATCTAATTCGATACATATATATATGTGTAAGGATTCTATTGAAGAAGGTTACGTACATTTCGCCGAAATCCACCTCACCGAAACTCATTTCTCCGATGTCATTTCACCGAAGTGATATTTCACCGAAGACGTTTCACCGAAGACGTTTCGCCGAAAGGACGTTTCGCCGAAAGTACGTTTCACCGAAAGTACGTTTCACCGAAAGTGCATTTTATCGAATCGTCCATTCCATTTCGCCGAAAATGGTAGCGATTAACATTTTAATTTTAATAAAAAATTTTCATCGCGCAATGAAAATAAAAATTAAATTATTTTTAGAGAATTTTTTTTTCCAGGATATTATCACTTTAACATTCAAATAACTGATATTAATTATTAAGAAATAAATAAATAACTTTATTTTCCTGAAAACATTCACGAAAAAGTAAGTAAAGAAAAAGACTATTAATATATTATAACAACGAGATAAATTTAGTAAAAATCAGCTAATTCAAAAATTTTTCTAGAAAACATTTCTTTTATGTATTTAGTATAAAAACAACTAATAAAATAACCAAATGAAATAAACAATTTTTCGACAAATGTCCATTCGACGAAATGTCCATTTGGTGAAATGTTTATTCGATAAAATGGCTTCGGCACGGCGAAATGGGAGTTTCGGTGAAACAGTGTTCGGAAATGATTCAAAGGATTTGCCTAATCCTTTTCATAATCATAAATCATTTGGCATTTGTCATTTGGTCATTTGCGAAATTTGCGTAATCACGTGATTTGTGAAAAATACTAAGCGAACAATTCTTTAAATTTTTTTTTTTCATAAATCATTTTTGCATAACTATTATATATAATATCATTAGATTGACTTAAATTTGTTGTTACGGTATTATTCTTCGCCACTCCATACAAATTTAGAAGCAAACCAATAAAAAATTACATTAAAATGTATTTATGGCATCAAATTTTAAAAAGCAAATAGTCCGAATTTTTTGACCTGTATTTTACATTTTTTTCTATATAGCATAATTTTTTAATTTTAGTTTATAATTATACTAGTTTTCATTATATAAACGATTGCATAATTTATTTACTTTAAAATTATAATGCTAAAATAAATCAAGTAAATGTGAAAATTAATGGGATTTAAAATGTTAAATAAAATTTATATGGATACAAGACTGCTAATTATACAGAAATGTTAGAACTTAGAAGAAGCCTCAGTATGACCCATTTGGCTGGTCAGTAAATTCGAGTTGATTGTTAGGGCAAGAAATTGCCAAATTAGTAAATTATTTGGAAAAGCGAACGAAAAATGGTTAAAATTTTTCGTTAAATATAAATTATAAATCACGTGATATGAAAATATTTTGCCACCTATGAAAAAATTTTTTGTTACATAGATAATACAAGATTTTTTTTTTATACTTTGTTTCTTTACTTTATGTTAAATAAGATTATCAATAAAAACTTTCAAAATATTCAAATGACTTAAATGACTGGTCATTTAATTTCAAATGACAAATAATGACAAATGACAAATGACTCATTTCAAGTCATTTGCCGAACACTGCGGGTGATCGGAGAGACGTCCTTTTGGCGAATATCCCTTCGATGAAATATCCCTTCGGCGAAATGGGTTTCGGTGAAATGGACTTTGCCGAAAAGTCCAGATACCATTGAGTACCCGATGAAGGTTGATCTCATACTTGTGACTGCTGTCGACATTTTGTACGACTCCTAGGTCACACAGGGCTAAGTCGAAAATATTATTAAATAAACCCGAGATTTCCAATTTGTTTGTTTATGTTTACAAACAGTTGAAAATCAAACGACGTAAAGGAAAAGTTTATTGCTCATTCAGTATGAGAAGTCATAAAACTTTCTTGGATATAGATCTATTATACTTTAAAAGTATCTATAAAAATATTGAGACGAATTTAAGGATGATCAACTCGAAGATGCTGTGCTACATTAATCTCTTTGACGGGGACGTTAATTCAAAACCAAATTTCAATGTAACCTCCATATTTAAAAGGAGATTTCTGATTGGTTATTATTACATTAAGAAATGTTAAACATCTCCTCAGGGCTCAGGCTGATGCTACTAATCCTTGAAATTCTTGAGAACTTTCGTTCACAAATTTACAAATGTAATTCCTGTTTAATGTTTACAATGTTTCACAACACAAAATTAGCCTTTCTTACAACATTGTGGTTTATGTCAAACCGTGTTAATCTTGCTGCTAAAGGTAGTGACATATGATTGCGAAAAATATAAAATATGCACGTTTTCATTTTAAGAATTAAAATAAACCTATCTCTAACATAAACGTTCTCCATGTATAAAGAAAGGGGTGGCAAAGAAGATAATGATTCTTTATCCATTCATTTACTGTACGTAAGTGACAATTAACGTTTCACTTGATTTTTTTTAGAACATACTGTGCATTTTTATCCCAAAATTAATTAGAAAAAAAAAATGCATAAAAAATTAAACGAAAATTTTTTCAAAAAAAATTACGTATATATGCGTATTTGTACTTCAAATGTTTAAGTCTAGGCAATTACCAAGTTTGAAATAAATTTTAAATTATTTAATAAATATGTAATGTTTATTTTTCTTATGTTTATGAAAAAGGCTTTTTGTTAAATAGATAATTAATAAACGAAAGTTTTCACCAATTGAAAGTTTAGAAACTTTCCAATTTGGTAATTGCCCGGACTATATTTGTAAACGCATAAATATAATATAAAAAACTTTACTAATCAAAATTGGTAGATCTTCTCTTTTTGCATAGTACCAGCCTGAATTTTATAACAATGACCGGCACTAACTCCGAATCTTACTAATATTGGTATTTCTTTGGATCTATATATAAAAGTACAAGTTTCACGTCATATAAATAAATCATCATTTTTCATTGTATTCATTATTATAATAATAATGCATATACGAACACAATTTTGTGTTCCCATATGACCAATGATCGACACATCCGTATATAGTCAATTATAGAACGCCATTCTTCTTTTTTTCCTATTTCCCTTTCTTTTACTTTTTTTCTTTTTACTTTCCTTTTAAATATGGCATGTTCAAAAATATTTTCTGGGGATATACCTGAATTAACAAATGAAATTATCGAATATTTTCGAAATGATTTTTCAACCTTATATTCATGCATTTTAGTTAATAGATTATTTTGTCGTATAGCGATTCCAATATTATGGGAGGATCCATTTTCAATTCCTACTGAAAATTATGATTTTATTAAAATTTATTTATATAATTTAAATGATGATGATAAAATAAAATTAAATAATTACGGAATTGATAAAAAATTATTTTCTTCAAATACTTTATTTAATTATCCTAGTTACATTAAAAGTTTAAATATTCAAATAGATTATTCTATTGAATCATGGGTTGCAGCTCTTAATAATTGTTCTATAAAATATACATGTCCTTCAGATTCAACAAGATTAATTTATAAATCATTATTTAAAATATTTATTGAAAATGGAGCAGATTTACATACTTTTGTAATTGCCTATGTTCATCATGATTATTTAAATGATGCATCTGAATTAATTTTAAAAAATCCAAATTTCATTTATAATATTAAAAATTTAAAACTTGAAGGAATTTCAGATTTACCAAAAATTGATTCAATAATTTCATTATTTAGTTTAAATTGTAAATCAATTTCAACTTTACATTTTCAATTTAGTGATCATAGATTAAATGAAAATTTTTCATCATGTATAATTAATTCTCAACAAAGTCTTAAAACAATATTATTTAAATATAATAGTTTTCCTTTATATCATTCATTATTATCATTAAAAAATTTTAATTGTTCAAATACTTTAAAAAAAATCATATTTTATGGAACAGATTTTAAAGATATAAATATATTAAAAGAAGTTTTTGAACAATTAAATTGTTTAGAATCTATTCATATACTTTATTGTCATTCTTTAAATTATAATTTTATTCAACAAATTATTAATATTACTAGTAAACCATTTAAATTAAGATCTTTATATTTAATTAAAAGTATAGATATTAAATTATTACAATTATTATTACAAAAATCAAAAAATTATTTAGAAAATATAGGTTTTAGAACTTTTATTATAGATAATCAACCTAATACTAGTAAACAATTGGTTGAAAAAATTTTATCATATTGTAAAAAAATCAATTTTTTTGATTTTTCATATTTTTATACACCAGAATATATTTTTCCTTCTTTTGATTTAATTAAAAATTCTGGTCAAAATCTTAATTATCTTTCTATAGAATTTCATTTCATTCCTAATGTTGATATAAGATTAAGTTCAATTGTATTAAAAGAATTAGGTCAAATATTACCTTCAAAATTAGAATATTTAAAATTATCTTTATCTATAAATACAAATGATTTTAAAATTTTTTTAGATAATTTTCAAAATACTTTTATTAAAAAATTAGTTATTAGAAACAAAATATTTTTAAATAATTCACAAAATAATTTTGTTGAAAAAATTAAGAAATTAGTTATTAGAAATAAAACTAAAGTAGTTGATCAAGATATTTTATATTATATAGAAAAATTTATTATGAAAAAGAGAAAGGTTAAATATTTGGCTTTTAGAGATGATCTTATTGGTTTAGAATTATATTTATTGAAAGATCAAGTGAAAAAATTTGAATCTTATAATATTAAAGTTCAAAAATATGATGATTTAAATATTAATTGGTATAAATATATAGAAGAAACATATTAATTTATAAATTGTAAATTAGAGATTTTTTATTTTTCTTCCTTTTTGTTTTAATTTATAAATAAATAAAATATGATATTAATTATAAATAAAAATTGAAATTTTTATGCACTATCAATTACGATACTTTTACGCAATATCCGCCGTCGGATTTAATTTACAATGATTACGGTGATAATACGAATAGTACTACCAGAGTATTATTTTTTATATTTTAATATTATGTTAATTTTTAGAGATCGCTTAAAAACAAACATGTTTTTATGAGACATAATTTAAAGAAGCCTAACTAGACTGGAGTTCACTGGACGTATCTGCGGTAGCATCAAACCCATTTTAATGATTATAAGTATACTATGATCTATAATTATTATAAAGCCAGTACGGTACTGAACCGTACTGTACTGATTTTCAAATTCGTACTAGTACTGAATAACCTCCTACATTAGTCCGGGCTAAATTTATAGTGCTGGCCAGAATTACTAGTAACTTTTTCGAAAATTTATGTTAAACGAAATTATAATTCTGGCCAGCATTATAAATTTGGCCCAAATTACCTATAAAGAAAACTAGTTCGGTATATTATATAACGAATTCACTTTATACCGAACCAAACCTCCTGGAACAGAGGGTTCGTTATATCCAGAGTTGACTGTATTTTAATAAGTTATTTCAGCGTCTTATACTATAAGTTTCGAAATATGTGATCAACTTCCGCTCTTCCTTGGCTGTACGTGCGAATAATTTTGGAACTTCTGACATAAAATTGGCTAAAATGTACCATAACCGTTGCCCTTGTATATGTTTGGGCAGATTACATCAGATTACATATAACGGCTTGGAACTTTCCCATCGTTTGCGTTTATTTTCTTGGGTACCATCTAAAGATGCTTAACGGTCCTAAAAGACCACGGTCCTACACCCAAAAAGACGGACCGGTCCGTCTTAGCATAAGTCTTTCGGTTTCGCACCACGTGAAGCAAAACGGCGGGATCGCGGTCTTTTTAAGGACCGATCGGTCTTTTTTTTCTACCCATAAAAATATTTATATTTTTAGGTTCGGAGCGTCAAGGTTTACTTTAATATCTCCAAAACTAGATGAAAAAAAGTTTTTTAATAAAAACGACAGGTTTTGGTACTAAAACCAGTCGGTCTTTATATTTTTTTGCAAGTGTTGATCAATAGTTATACAATTTATTTAGTAAATATAAAAATTTAATTATAAGGATCTGTCCTAGGAGCTAGGACCGGTCCTAAAAAAAAAAAATACCACGGTCCGGTCTAAGACCGAGACGGACTTGTAGGACTGTTGAGAACCACCCTAGCGTCGCCTCCAAAAAATGGTAGCCGGTTCTAATTTGCCGGGTTACATATATTATCGAGAGGTGATAAATAATACGTGACATTTAGTACTTTACGTATAAAAAATTTTCCAAGTACTCAGAATAATTATAAAATTAAAGAAACGTTAGGGTACCCTAATCCCAACCCTAATCCTAACCCTAACACTAAAGAACCGGCAAAATAATCCGGCTACCATTTTTTGGATGGTCGTCGACTGTTGAGCATCTTGTACGGTATTGGCTAACGTCACGAAGTGACGTTATTAAACCAATTTAAACACATGCTAATCGATCATAGTAATAATATTAAATGTTAATATTATGTAATATGACGAATAAATATAATTAAGAGTTTTTTTTATGTGTAGAATTTATAATGTTTTATAACTCCAATATCTTATAAATCATTCATTAAATTTAAAATTGGATGATCTTTACATAGAGTTATTTTTTTTTATGATCCAGTATTAGTAGTATTAGTTTCTATTGGTCACCGCAGTATTCCTAATGACCGACGAATATCGGTCTTCGACCGATATGACGACATCTCTATTCCCCCATCCAATAACTATTTATTATCGCACGGCCTTATAGGATCATACAGATTTTATTTGACCGATATTTTCATATTTTCAATATAGATATTAATAGTTTACTTGCATACAATATTAATATTATTTGCGAATATCGATAGTTTATTCATTAGCTGTAAAATAATATAGACGGTGTTGTATTTATTTATATTGGTTAACGTCACAAATACTGGTTAACGTCACGAAGCAACGTTAACCAATATAAATATAACACCGTACAATGGTAAATTTATTTACTTCTTTCTTTATTGCAGAAGATGAATTCTTAACGTTTGAAATTAGAACAAAAATAAAGAAAGACACGTGCCATTGGAATAATAAAAAGAAAGATATCAGCTTAAATATGACATAATTAAACCTAATAGCTTAGAAGGGGAAAAGAACAATGAGTTGTTTAGTGTGGAAATGTGTATTAGAGAAATAGATAACACGAAGGCCAACTTACATGGGATATTATTAATGATAATAATAGTTAAAACATTAGCTTGTGTTAAGATAAAAACGGGAAAATTGTTAATAGATTTAATAACTGATTTTATTAACGAAGATAGCAGTAGGAAAAATCAAATCATCGAGAGCTTGAATTTTTAGGCTATCTAATACGAGAAAAAAGTTGTTTGATAGAATGGGAAGAGTTAAAGAAAGAAAACGATGAAGGAAACAACCTAAGTGCATTTAGCAATAAGGAAGTAGGAATTAAACTTGAATTGATGCAATTAGATTTTAACATATATACGTTAAGATGGAATAAAAACATCATATATGGAGATTATAGAAATTATCTCAAAAAATTCAATCAAATCAAGTATAAATCAAGTATTCTGACGTGTCATTATTTAGAAGACATTTTCTATAGAAATGAGCACCAAGAGATTAATTGGAAAATGGCTTTTGACTTTCTTCAAAGGGGAACTGGAAATAATAAAAGATTTACTGACGTCGACGACAACGCGTTAAGGTCGTACAAAATTAAGGATTTTTAAAAATATTGCCGACCTATGAAATTTTGTATGATAGACAATGTAATCATGTGATAACTGATATTTGTGCAAGATGCGAAAAAGAAGTGGAGAGTTGGGAACACATATGGAGTTGTAGTGAAAATAGTAAATCAGAATATGATGTTCTAATTGACACGTTGATTGAAATAGAAAATAAATATAATACACCGGAAGAAGAGGTTAATTACAAAATTATAAGAACATTGGCAAAAGAGATAGTTACATTTATGATGGCACCATCAACAATACTAATACTAGGTAATCAAAAGAGAAGTCGTGAAGTGACTAGGGAACTATTTAATGATGGGCTTTACAAAATATGTAATGATAAAAGCGAGCGACGGATAATAGAGGAAGTTTGGGGAAAGTTCTATTTAAAAGTGAGACAAGAAATTTGGTTAGATAGATGCAATAAAATTAATGAAATAGAAAAAAGTAAAAGTATAACCAAGTTGGATAAAAAACGCAACGTTCAATTTTGCCGATAAATGAAGACGAGGAAAGTACAGCAAATAATGAAATGAAAATAAACAAAAAAATATGAAAATGATAAATAAAAAAAATTAAAAAAAGAAATTATAATAGAAAACTTAGTTGGTAATAGCTTACTTATTAATAGGCCTTTTCAAGAAACGTGGGGTTATGTGCATAGACCGGATTTGTATAATTTATAGTAATTAAATCGTTTTTAGTATATAGTATATAGTATTAATAGTCTAGTTTTAGTATAGTTTAAGGACCCAGAAATATATATATAGGGGTCAGGTGGTTAAAAATTTTTTTACTATGAGCTGTACGCAGAGACTTTTTATATGAGTAGTACGCATAATTGACACCTGATATTGAAAATCCTGCAAAAATACGCAAATAAAATTTCAGACATTAAGTTATTAATTATTTTATCATGGCTTCTATATTATAAATACTAATGTGAAAAAATAGAATTTACCATTTTTTTAATAATATTTTTCTAAAATTTCACTTTTTAACCCTTAGAAATTTCTTACAATTCGGTTAATTAAATAAGTACGTACAGTAAATATATTATATATATAAGATTAGCCAAATTTAGGTCAAAAATACGCAAACTAATTTTTTACATATAAAAATTTTGATAAAAAATACGCAATCTTGATGACCTAACTATAGATGAAAAATTCTAAAATTGTACGCAAATCAAAACTTTACTCCGTCTAATTCCACTATGATGGCGACGCATCTGTGTACCCTACCCCTGTATATATATTTCTGGGTCCTATAGTTTAAGTATTAATTTTGTATTAATACTTTCATAAATAATATGGAGTTAGTAGATACTAGTATTATATACTAAGTATTCATATTAATTTATAGATTGTATAATGCAATAAAATAAATAAAAGAATGCGCGTTACTAACAAAAAAAAATAAAAAAAATAAATTTATTTACTTCTCTAATAAATGCCATGTGGTGAAACTATAATTACAGTCCAAATATATTATTTTATTTTACAATAATAATATCGATCAGTTGAATAAGAAAATAACGATCAATGAAAGTCTGATGAATATAATTTTGAATATATGTTATTTCTCATATATATAATATAATTCACAAATTTTAAATAAGTAAATAAATAAAGAACCCTATAAACAATTCTCATAAAATATAAAATATTACAAAAAAGCTCGGCACGATCGGTAAATCTACGCAAGCCGAATAAAATTTCCAGGAATATTCTAAATTTACATATATTGTAAAAGTTTTATTTAACTTCTGTTTCGATCACAAAACTTTTCTAAATTACTAACTTTCAAATAAAAAAATATATACCGAACGGGATGATCAATATATCTATATAGAAAGCTGTATATGTACGTTTAAGGAGTTTTATTTATTTATTTATTTAAATGTTTATTCATTTATTCATTATCCATTTATCCACTTTACTTTTGTAGTTTAGAATCATTTATAATCATTACGACACATGTGTTACAATCCATACTCCTCAGTGTCAAATGATTAAATGATCGACAAACAGACGGATAAATATTGAAATGTTACCCGATGCCGATGCCTGACGCTTTTCTTTTTTCCTGAAATCCTTTTTTTCCTTTGACTTCTTTTTATAATAGAAATGGCATGCTCAAAAATATTTTCAGGAGATTTACCTGAATTAACGAGTGAAATTATCGAATATTTTCGATACGATTTTTCAACACTATATTCATGTATTTTGGTTAATAGATTATTTTGTCGTGTAGCGATTCCGTCATTATGGGAGGATCCATTTTCAATTACTACTGAAAATTATAATTTTATTAATATTTACTTAAGTAATTTAAATGATGATGATAAAACAAAATTAAATGAATATGGAATTGATAAAAATTTAATTCCTTCAAATACTTTATTTAATTATCCTAATTATATTAAATCTTTAAATATTCAAATCAATTATTATATTGAATTATGGGTTAAAAATTTTAATAATAATTATTCCATAAAATATACATTTCCTTCAAATTCTACAATATTAATTTATAAATCATTATTTAAAATATTTATTGAAAATGGAGCAACTTTACATACTTTTGATGTAATTTCATATGTACATCATGAATATTTAAATGAAACTTTTGAATTAATTTTAAAAAATCCAAATTTTATTCGTAATATTAAAAATTTAAAACTTCAAGGAATTACAAATTTACCAAAATTTAATTCATTACTTTCATTATTAAATTCAAATTGTAATTTAATTTCAACTTTACATTTTCAATTTAATGATGATTTATTAATTTCTTCTAGTATAATTAATTCACAAAAAAATCTTAAAAAAATATTATATAAATATAATGATTTTCCTTCAAATTATTCATTATTATCATTAAAAGATTCTAATTGTTCAAATACTTTAAAAACTATTATATTTCATGAAACTGATTTTAAAGATATAAATATATTAAAAGAAGTATTTGAACAATTAAATTGTTTAGAATCTATTCATATTCTTTATTGTCGTTCTTTAAATTCTCATTTTATTCAACAAATTGTTAATATTACTAAACCTTTTAAATTAAGATCTTTATTTTTAAATGAACCAATTGAATCTTTACAATTATTAATACAAAAATCTAATAATTATTTAGAAAATATTGGTTTTAGAACTTTTATTATAAATGATCAAAATAATAGACAATTGGTTGAGAAAATTTTATCAAATTGTAGAAAAATCAATTTTTTTGATTTCTCTTATATTCATACATCAGATCATATTTATCAAACTTTTGATTTAATTAAAAATGTTGGACAAAATCTTAATTATCTTTCAATTGAATTTGATTTTACTCATACTAATACTATTAAATTAAGTTCAATTATATTAAAAAAATTAGGACAAATTCTTCCTTTAAAATTAGAATATTTGAAATTATCATTAGTAATTTATACAACTGATTTTAAAACTTTTTTAGATAATTCTCAAAATATTTTTATTAAAAAATTAGTTATTAAAAATATAATATTACAAAGTAATTTATTTGAAAAAATTAAGAAATTTGTTATCAAAAATACAAATCAAGATATTTTACCTTATATAGAAGAATATATTATTAAAAAGAAAAGAGTTAAATATTTAGCTTTTAAAGAAGATTATATGGGATTAAGAGATTTATTTTTATTGAAAGATCAAGTGAAGAAATTCGAATTATATGATATTAAAGTTCAAAAATATGATGATTTAAATATTTATTTGTATAAATATATAGAAGAAACCTATTAAATTATAAATAAAATTATAATATGAGGGAAAAAATATGTTATACTATCCAAATTCCAAATGCACATTAGTAAAATGTTATTTTATAATTTCGGTACGCTTTTCTTCCGGAAATCTTTCGTTAAAAGAAGTACAATTTTAATATTAAATTTTTTGAACTTGACAATATTACTTATCATTCTTTTATTGTAATTTGATGCTCAATGCCAAAACTTGAGAAATTTTATTTAATTAATTAGTATATTGTTATACAAATATAACATTTGTTTCCATTAATTTAATGACAGTCTAATAACGGCATGCGAGACGTTATTCTGTGTGCGACAGTTTTTTTCAATATTTTTATATAGTACAATCTTGTTCGAGCGCGCACTTGTGAATTATTCAGCATGAATTCGGAAATTTACGCGGCAATGCACAACATGTTTCCTTAGAAAAAATTTTTTACTTCAACATTAATTCTGAAGAGATTATTATTTCTGATCAATAAATAAATTGTTTTATTTTTTTTTTTTATTTATTTTTCTTTATTAGTATTAAGCTGTCTATTATACATTTTGTAATTTAATTTTTTTGTAATTCCTATAATTTCATTATTATATAAAACTATAAATGAATACTCCGATTGATAATTATCGTTCGGTCATAGCGTCATAGCGTTATAGGAATACTGCGGAGACCAATATAAAATCGATCATCATAATCATCGACATAATTCTGACATAATTTCATAATTTCGATTAACTTAATTTGTTTCACAAAAATACATATATAGTGTACGCTCTACATTTATTTATTTTTTTTTTTTTACATTTCTTTCTAAAATTTAAATACGTCAAAATTAATAAATATTATTTTTCCAATAACTTTCTTTCTTACCTCCTCATTAACAATTATATCATCATTAATCTTTTCTTTGAAATTCATTAGCGATTTATGTAAATTATTTAGAGGAAAAGCAAAATTCTTTGAAGCAAATAAATTCACTCAAACGAAATAAAATTAACTTTTAATTATTTTAAACATCAAATAATAATTTGTAATGTCACGAGATATTGGTAAACTGTCTCAATCAATGCCACCAGTAAAATCTGGATTCTGGCTCTGGACAGATATATATAAGCAAAATCCAAATGACTTTTTAAGTAAAGAGCGACCTCGCGATAAATGCTTCATATGTAGTAATAAATACCCTGAGCATTCTGTAACCATCCCAACAGCATATGATTGTGAAAAATGCTATCAGGCAATTATTGAAGAAGATTTTAAAAATTGGACAAGTGGTTACCAAGAAATTGATATGGTTATTAGACAATCACAATTAAATTCCAGGAAATCAAATTATATGTTTCTTGAAGTTTTCCCTTTTAATTTTGGGCAATTGGAGGTGATTGGAAGTGGTGGATTTTCAACCGTTTACTTAGGAATAATCCCAGAATCTCGATATTGGAGACAATACCAGTATAATCATGTAGTTCTCAAATCTATTTTGAAATCAAACTCGAATATTATCACAAATTTGGCCAAAGAGGTATTTTAGTTCATGTTGCGAACAAATATTATGAATTTTATTCTAAACAAAGATTTAACACATTTTTATAAAAATCTAGCTTGAGGTTAATTCTAAGATTAATGAAGATTTCGTTCCAAGATATTATGGGATAACACAAAATCCAGATAATGGTCAATACATGATTGTGATGCAATATGTAGCTTATGGGGATTTACGTCGATATTTACAAGCTCCAGAGACGTTCATTAGCTGGAAACATGCAATTTATTTATCTCGATGTATCATGGAATCACTGTATAAAATTCATGATCGTGGTTTTATACATAAAAACTTTCATACTGGCAACATACTGATCGATCATACAAAAAGACCATTAATTTCCGGTTTAGGGTTCACTTCTTTTATCGAATCAGACGAAGTAATCGGCGTCATGCCATATATTGCTCCAGAAATCTTTGACCTTAAACCATATACTCAAGCGGCGGATATATACAGTTTTGCCATGATTATGTGGGAATTCTCATCACTACAACCACCCTTTGGTAAATTTGCACATGATCACTATTTGTTAATTGATATTTGTAGAAACCACTTGCGACCTACCATTACAAATGCAACACCCAGGTGCTGGATTGATCTTATGCAACAATGTTGGGAACCCGATCCAACAAAACGTCCAACCGTGTTACAAGTATTAGAAAAACTTGAATTATGGTATCAGAGTTATGATAATAATATATTAACAGAAAATATTAAACAATTTTTTATTTGTGATGAAGAACGATATAAATTTTATAGCATGGAAAGAGAGAAGATTGAAGAACATTATTCGACGCATCCACAAGCAATTTATAAAAGTAGATCCATGTCTTATTATATTAGTCTTATACAATCTAATCAAATTGGTTGGAATGATGAGCTCGAAAGAAAACCATTTGATAATTCATTAAATTCTTCAAAAAAAAGATTATACCCAAATGTCGAACCAGAATCAAATGAAATTGACATAACGCAACAGATTGATGGTTCTCATTTATCAAAAAGAAGATTATACTCAATATAAGAAAAATCAGAACGGGTTGAAATGGGAATAGCATAATACAACAAATTGATGGAATTTCATGTAATTCTAATTTACCAATATTCGGATAAACAAGAAAAATCTGAATCGGAGAAAAATGAAGCTGACATAGCGTAACAAATTGATGGTATTTCGCTAAATTCTCCTCTTTGTAAAAAGGTTCGTCACACATAATATTTTAAAACGTTTAATTTACAATTCTTATATTTAAATAGTTACCAATCTTTCGTGTTTCAAATAAAAAAAAAATATTTATCGTAGGATAAAAAACAGGTCCTGCATTTTCCCTATTTTATCTTATTTGTACCTTAGTAATATATGTATTCCGCGAAGTTCCCATCAAAAGATCTTCAAAACAAATATTCTTTTTTTGATCACGATCTACTCATACGTTTAAAGAAATACTTTGAGTGAAATTTTAAATAATCCTAATCCATAATAATTAATCATTAATCATTATTGAGCAGAGTAGCGTCCCACCTTGCGAACTTATTCTTATTTATATTATAATAATTTATTTATTTATTATATATAAATTTATATATATTTTTATATTTATATTTTTATTATGTAATTTGTAATGGAATATGAAAAACAATTTCTTTTTTAATTAAAATTAATTTAATTTAATTCGAAAAGGTAATCGATGAGCTCCCAGTGACCAATTTTAAACAATCCTACAGCCGCAATATAATTGATCATTACCGTCTTAGGAAATATTGAGGCTTATTGACCTCCTTAGACCGCAGTTATTAAAATGTTCATTCATTTAAAACGTAATGTATATAAATATAGGATGATAAAATTTATTTTTACCATGAAAATTCAAATAAAACACTTGCTTTTTTGGTTGGAGCTGCTTGACCAAAATAGGAAAAAATTTCAGTGAAAATTTATTCTTAGAATAGCCAATCTGCTTAAATATAGATTAAGGATTTCTACTGATCTAATCACAAGTATATGATTTTAATGATTTTCCCATGAGAGAAATTATCTATAAAATCGCTTTCTTTCTCATTAGGATTTTTAGTTTTTGAAATTTTTTTTTCCTTTAATATTCAAATACTTTTTAAATTTTTTTTTTTTTTTTATAAAACCGATACGTGTAATCTAATAATCACCAAACACGTTTTACAATTAAAGAAAAAATTTTCATATTCTCTTTACTTCTTTATCTTCTTATACATTACTCAGTTCATATAAAATATCATGCAACTCGACACCGAGTTTTGATGACTCGCGTAAACATATTCTTTTTTTAGTTGTTGTCTATTATTGTACAAAATTGTCGTCCCATCACTTCCATGGTTCATTTTTTTATAGCAACGATCACATTATTGTTATCCAAATTGAAGACAACATCAATATAAGAGTTGAAAGGGTGAATGATGATGTTGCGATATATATTTCGTAAATGATCAAGGTGATAGAATACGTATTTCTCTGGGAATTACTGTAAGAAATGTAACAAACAACACAATTATAAGACCTTCAAGACATGGCAGGTGGTTTTATTTAATCACATGGGTTTCAAGTTACGTAATATACCGTGATAATGAACATATTATATCTATCCGTCAATAATCAAAACAGCAAGCCGTAAGTGGGAATGATGATTTTATTTTTATACTACTGATAGTGAGGACAGTAGAAGTGATGTTGACGATAATGAGAATGGTAGTATCAATGATAACGATGAGATATAAATGCCATAGTATAACTAGGGAAGACTTATAGTATGATTAACGTCGATTGGTTTCAGCCATTTGAAAGAACGGTTCACAGTTCTGGTGCTGATGATGATGAAGACGGTGGTGGTAGTGACAATCATGAGGATGATGGAGACAGTGCATGGGAAGAAATTAATCCAAAATAATAGCAATAAAATTGATAGGATTATCATGCAAGGAAATAGGATATTGAGAATAGGAGATTGGGCTATACGATCAAGTAGGCCCAATACTCAAGGGGGATCTATCCTATTACACTCAAATTACGGAGATTTCAAGTAACATTACTTGAGAATACTTACATGTTTGATGGATTTTTCATGAGTAAATATGAGTAAGGTGATTATGAGTACAATAATTAGGTTAAATTTGTTGTCGTAATTTCAACATATCACACTAATATATAATTTTCTTTATTACATATGCCAATTTATTAGCTAACAATCAAACGCAGTTACAAATACAAAATGATCAAGGCATAAACTTTGCTTTACCAAACATTATGAAGACATATCCAAGATAACTAAGATACGAGAGTAAATGATGGAGAAATTATTGTAGAACATATTGAGAAATACGGTGGTCATTTTGGAAAAGTAATTAGGATAAACAAAATTAAATACATCCTTATTTACTTCAATAACGAGAATGAAATGATGAATACAATTTATAAGTCAGCAATGGAAGACAAATTAGGAGCAGGATTTCAAATAAAAAGTCAAGATGAGCTTATCATGAATGACGGCAAGTTTAGGACCAGGAGGATTCTCAAGACAAAGTAAAAGAATAATATCATTGCGAATAATCCTACGGAGGATGAACAATATTATGAAGCAATGGATAGTCTAGCGGGTCTGATGGGTCCGGATAATGATGTAGTTAAAAATTTTATAATTGAATGAAAATTTAGTGATAGAATTAACGAGATTAATAGCAAACAAGTAGTATAAACAGGTAAAGATAAGATTAATGAATTAGAAAATACAGATATTTTAAATGGTAACAAGAAAGGATTGTGCAAATACAAGGTGCAAGAGATGGTAGTGATAATGAGTAAGTATGTTGATGGGATACAATGCTATGCGATATAAAACAGTCTCAAAATTAGTTTAAGTTTTATAGTATATATTCAAATTTGTATATTTTTTTTCGTTTTTCCTTTATATTTTATTGATATGATGCTTTTGCGTCTATTTTATAATCATTTATGATGTATAAATTTTTATAATACAAAAAAAATTATTAGATATCCAAATCTCAGATTATGAGAATCAATTGCATATAATCCACAATCTTTAGCATTGATCGATACTCTAGAGGTTTTCCATATTTTACAGTACATTAAAAAATTAAAATACAACTTCAATCTTTTAAATTTTACAGATCTTTATTTATTCATATTAAAAATAATTATCTATAAAAATATATGGACTAGAATGTAAGTCATGGAATTCTTTAACTATAATATTATGTAATTTAAATTCATTTACTTCGTTTCTTAAAGTAAATAAAAATTCATTATCTATATTATTATTATTAGTAATAGCCAAATATTTAACCCTTTCCCTCTTTATAATATATTTCTTTATACAAAATAAAATTTTCTTACCTAAACGACCCACAATATCACTAATTAATAATTTCTTAATAAAAGTATTTTGTGAATTTTTTAAAAATATTTCCAGATCGCTTATGGTAAATGAAAGGGATAAACATAAATATTCTAATTTAGAAGGAAGAACCTGTCCTAAATTCTGTAATACAATTGAACTTAATTCCTCATAATCAGTATTATAAGTATTTGCTTCAATAGTAAGATAATTAATATTATTTTGATTATTTTCAATGAATAAATAAATAATATTATCATCAGGTATTCCCGATTCAAAATATCTAATATTTTTACAATATTTTGTAATAAATTCAAATAATTGTCGTTTTGGTTCATTATATTCATTAAACATCATAGATGCAAATCCAAAATTTTCTAGGCAATCACTAAATTTCTGTAATAGCAATTGTAATGATTCAAAATGTAATATCTTATTAATAAACAAAGATCTTAATTTAAAAGGGTTATTAACCTTAATAATTTGTTGAACAAAATCAGAATTTAAAGAATTACAATAAAGAATATGAATAGATTCTAAAACATTCAATTGATCAAAAACTTCTTGTAAAATACTAATTATATTTTTAAAATCAATGAAATAAAATATAATTGTATTTAAAGTATTTGAACAATTAGAATTTTTTAATGTTAAAAATGGATTATATAAATTAACAAAAGATCCAAATGAAATTTTTTTAAGATTATTTTGTGAAATATATATTTGTGTTAGACATTTTTCACTTATTAATGAATAATCATCACCATAATTAGGAAAATCTAAAGCCATTGATGAGATTGAGTTGCAATTAGAATATAAAAATTTCAATAATTTAATAATATTTTGATTATTATAATTATAAATACGGAATGTTAAATTTCTAATATTATGTGTAAGGTTTGGATTTTGTAAAATCAAGTCTATACTCTTATTAAAATAATTAACATCATAACATATAGGCAGTATAACTTCAAAAGAATGTAAATTTCCTTCATTTTCAATAAACATTTCAAGTAATGACCCATAAATTAAGTTTACTAGTTCTTGATTTTTACCCACTACGGTATAAACCCACGTTTGAACAGAATTTAAAATTTTATCTATATTCAAGTATTTAATAAAACTAGGATAATTGAATAATAATGTATTTGAAATTATTAAATTATTATTAACTCCATATTCATATAATTTTGTTTTGATATCTTCATTTAATTTACTTAAGTAAATTTCAATAAAGTGGTAATTTGTGGGATGTATCTTTGAAAATAGATACTTTTTTGGAAACGGATCTTCCCATAATAATGGAATGGCTAAACGACACCATAATCTATTAATTAAAATGCATGAATACAATGTTGAAAAATCTTTTCTAAAATACTGTATAATTTCATTTGTTAATTCTGGTAAATCTCCTGAAAATATTTTTGAGCATGCCATGTTATTCAAAGAAAAGGGAAGGGAGGTTGCTTTCGTTTCAAAATAATTAATATATTGTACAATTTATTTAGTGTTTCCATAAAAAGACAACAAGAGAACCAAAAATTAATATTGCGTCAATATTAATAAGTTACGACAGTTACGTAGTCATTATGATCCACAAGTCAAAATAACTTAAATCATTCCTTTTTTAAATAATTCTGTTAATTTCATCCACCTGATCATCACACGTTGATTTTTATAATTTTGTTTAAACGCATATTTTTACGCTTTAAAGTATGATTTTAAAGCTTATAATTTTTTTTTTACAAATTTGAGGTTCCTATTAAACAAAAAATTTTTTTTCTATTTTCTATTTCTATAATTTCTTTTTCGTAACACAAGATTTAACAGACCTAATGTGACATACCTGATCGACAAAAGATCCCAATGCAACCAATAGACTTGATATTCTCTGTTGATCGGCGTGGATGGGGAGTAATTTCTATGGCAAGCCATTCAGCAGACTTTCATGGTAGATATCTGCTGTTTTCACGGTGGATACCTGCTAAATTTGCAGCAAATAACCGCTAAATTTTTGTAGCAGACAGCCGCTGGACATTTATGGCTAAAAATTTGAAAATCAGAAGAAATTAACTTTTTCCTGAAATTTTCAGTTTTGTAATATTCATAAACACTTGATTATTGAACTTGATGTAGCAACTGATTTGTTATATATAAATTTACTATCAGAGTTGCTTTTTTTTAAAATATTCCCTAGATAAATTTTTGTTAGTTAATTCTTTTTAATAATTTCACAAAGATCTTTTATAATAGAAAGGTTTGTGCTGTAACGAAATCACAATAACTGGTTTATCGTTTTGTCCTAAGTAATTATTAATCACCAGTGAATGAAGATTAGTCGCTAAGGAGGGTGCAATGTATTAAAAAAGGAAAAGTGAATTTTTAAACAATGAAAAAATGTATTAAGCATGACTAAATGATGATGAACATCCAAAAAAGGAAACCAAATTTTAACGTTAACGTTAACTTTCGTTCGTTTCTTAACATTAAATTTAATGCCAAAGCCCACCCACCACACTACATTTTTCATAAAAATTAGATAATTTATTAATTTATTTTTTTATTACATAATCATATTATAATTGAACAAAAATTTAATTGTTTGATCATAGTAAAAAAATAGATCTAGATGAATATTTAATCATCATATATTATAATAAAATAATATTGAATTGTTTTAATAAAAAATGGATTTAGATAATTATTTAATCAATACATCATAGTAATATACAAATATGCTTTTTCTAAAAAAATAATTCTTAATAAATAATAATAATAAAAAATACCTTGTACAATATTGATTTGTGTCATGAAGGATTTGTCAATGGATTAACAAATTACATAGTTCAAAAAATGAATTTAAAACATCACTTATTTTTAACTGTTGAGATCACAACTTTTTTGAATTACAGAAATCACAAAAAAACTCACTGAAGGAAAATAGGAAGCTTGCGCAATAAAAGTTGCTCTTTACCTATTTAAAAGTAATAAAGTGAGTGTTTGATAATTATTTGAAATCGTTCAGTGTAACGACTATAATGAATTTGCTTTTCTTCTTGAATTATTTATCTAGAACGCGTTTTATATATTTATTCCTATTATCTGACGTATTAGAGTAAGTTTTATTATATAAAATGATTACATGTTTTTCAATAATAAAAACAAAGAATAATTATTATGAGATCAATATGATTTGTGAGTTTTGTGAGTTTATTTTTTTAATGAGATTTGTCTAATAATTACATATTTTATATTATTTATATCGATTATTAAATATTTATTTGGTCAAACAACTATTGACAAAATCAAAGAAATTATTTTTATAATTAGGAATTCATTATGTTATAATCTATATATTATTACAAAAATCATAAATTAAGTTAAGAATAACTGAATTTAATTCTTTTTTTACTTTTTTATTTAAATTATTCAAAGTTTTTTAATAAAATCCTAATGTATTCAATTCTATATATAAAAATTATATAAATCCTCTAAAGTCAAAGCAACGAGATTAACTATAATGAGCTTTGACTGTATTTAAATTTAATTCAAAAAAGAACTCCCACTTACTTTATTTACGTTTACTGTTAACTTTTTTTTACGGTAACCTTATTTAGTTAATTATTATTTATTATTAATTTTAGATACCAAATAAAAATATAATTTTTAAATTTTATTAACTTGCTAATCTTCGATTTTTTTCATGATAAATATGAGCCTTACTACCGTTAGATATCCCAGAATAAATTAAAAATTATCCTTAAGTTCAAAATAAAATAGGAATAAATTTTTTTATATACTAAATATTTTCATTTAAAGTAAATGTGTTTAATTTCTTTCATCTATAATAAAAAAAAAATAGATTAATTAAAGTTTAATTAAAAATACATGCAAAAGTAATTACCTTAAGAATTAATATCAAGTTTAGTAAAATCCATTTTTAAGGAATCTTTAAAATAAAGAATAATTATTATTATAAATAGATTGAATAATCATTTTGAATTAAAATTACCTGAATATTCTAAGTCATCATTGTCTGCATTTTTTGGTTCGGGAAGATTTTTAAAATCTAAAAGTTTACTTATATAAACTGCTTGAGGATGTGTCATATATGAGAGAGTACTAGTAGACGATGACGGTGTTGGAAATGATGATTTTTTATTAATTTCATCTGTTTCTTTAAATTGCTTATTAATCGCAGAATCTTTATCAGTAAAACGCAAATTCTTTAATAACTTCCGTAATTCATCTGCTCTAGGTCGTTTTAAAGGATCTGCATCCCAACATTGATTAATAAGATCAAAAATCAATTGAGGAATTTTATAATTAGACTTCGGTCTCAACCCTTACAAATTTTTATTGCTAAGAATTCATCATGAGCTATATCATAATAAGGAGGGAAACCTGTACAAATTTCATATGCAATAATTCCGAATCCATAAATATCACTTTCTTGAGTATATTTTTTTCCTCTTAAAACCTCTGGAGCTACATAAGGTAATACTCCATATATTTTTTTATTACTATTTTGAGAGGATTTGACATTTGCCGGTTGACATAATCCCAAATCAGTAATATAAGCACTTCCATCAAAATCGTTTAATATATTCCCACAATGAAAATCATGATGAATTAATCCTTTATCATGAATATCTTTAAGACCAAGTATAATAGCAGTTAAACTATACAACTTTTTCTTCCAATTCAGTGAAATGAAATTGTTATTTAAATATTGTCTTAAACTACCAACTTTTAAACTCATCACCATTATAAAATTATTTGTTTTTGGATCTTTGGTAATACCAAAACAACGAACTACATGACCACTTGAAAGTGAACATGCTATAATATTTGATTCAACCTTAAAAGAAAATTATAGTTAGTTTAACATTTATTAAAGGATAATGAAGATTTATAAGAAAATATCTTACTTCTTTTAAAAAATCTGTTGTAATGTCTTGTGAGTTATGTAAACATTTTAAAGCAACTTTTGTTTTGCTTATTCTTTTCCATTGATTATAGTGATAATACCAATTATCAATACATCCATCTTTCCAAACTGCCTTAAAAGTAGTTCCAAATCCCCCTTTTGCTAAATATTCAACATCTTCAAATTTATCATATTCAATCCACTCTACGATTTGATCCATATGATTAGCTTCTAATTGTGCTTTTTGAATAAATTCATCAACTTCATGATTTCCACTTGTCCAATTTTTGAAATTTTGTTGAAATCTTTTAGAATTACATGGCTGACAATAAGAATAACTAGTATTATTAGGCTGTTTACAATTTTTACATAAACCATTTTTTTTATAATGTTCTTTTAATTCTTTGTCTGTTATTAATTTATCAATTAACAATTCTTGTTCTTTAGTCAAATACCAATATTTGAAGTCTTTTATTTGTTCAAATATATCATCGCTTAGTTTTTCTTTATCAACTAACGACTTTTGTTCTTTAGTCAAACGATGATGACTAAAATTTTTTATTTGCTCAAATACATGTTTAATTTTGTCCATTTTAATAAATAATCTATTAAACGAAAGTATATTATTAATTCGTATGTAAAAATTAAAAAATAATGAGGTGAAACGTTATTTTATGTTGCAATTGATTTCAAGATCGGCAACAAAATTATCAAAAAAAGACTAGTTAAAATACATAGAGGAAACACAACAATCCTGATCGACAATTAAATTTATTCAATTTTGGCAATTTTATTTAAATTCTCCATTAAAAGTAAGATTAAATGACAAATAAAATAAATAAAAGTTTAACTAAATATAGTAAGTATTATGTAACCAAAGATTATTAATAATAAGTGACGAATTAAAAATGTTATTATAAACAATATGATGAAGAACTTTAGTAATATTTTGTATATCATAGGTGTAATTTATTGACGCAATTGAAGTCTAAGCTTTAAGAAATCTATTTAATCTATTTATTCAATGTATTCTAGAATATTTATCCAAAGAGAGAATTTGGGAATTTGGAATTATTTTAAAGTAAATGAAATACAAATCTTTTCGCAAACTTATATAGATTGATATCGTATTGTAAAATAAAATTGATCTCATTAACGCTTACGTCATGCATCATATATATTAATTTAGCTTATTTGTAATAATTTTTTTTTTTTTAAAAAAAAAAATATTCCACAAAAATAATTTCGTAAAAAATAATTTTAGTAGTTTAATAAAATTAATCAATTTATTTAATGTATTCAAATAATGCCCTAATAAAGTTAATATCCTAGGTGTTAGGAAGTATAATGTACATATAGAGGGTGAATTATGTAAAAGGCGCGAAAATGTTTAGAAATAATAAATCTTTATATAAAAATTTGTATCATTCGTTAGATTAAATATAAACTTTATTAATTATAATACTAATTAATATTTAAATAAATAGTATATTTATACTTATTTTACAAATCATACGTTCACATAATTATTTTGCAATATATACATTATAATAATTTGTAAATATATTCATTAAGTTTTATATAAAAAATATATAAATTACAAACTAAGGAACTACTTACTCTAATCTTAATGTTTAAAAATAATTCAAAATAAAACAATAATTGATTATCTTTCAATAAAATTTGTAAATAGTTTAAAATCCATCAAAAAGAAAGAACAAATATATTATTGAATTAAAAATTTATTTTCTATATTATAAACTGATCGAAACACGAAAGATAACGGTCCTTTAGTGACATATCTTTCATCAATCCAATATTGCTGTATAAATTTTAGAGAATCCTCCTCAATATTTTAATATGGGATCCATTTAATAATAATAACATTTTGCTCAAGTGTTTCCATTTGACAATTTTTTATTAAATTATTAATATCATTATTTCCAGATGTTCCACAAATTCCTCTTGTTCCTGAATAGAAAGAATTTTATCTCGGTCGTAACTTTATTGCTTAAATCTAATTGGTTCAGTTTTTCTTCTGCTGTAAGAGAATTATCAGCAAGAATTGTTTGATGCATAAATTAATATCCTCTGTGAATATCATTGCGGGTATTATTATCATATAACTATTAAGTGTTACGTTATTAATTTTCTTCGAAGAGTGGACATTATTATTATAAAAGTGTACTAATATTCCTAATAAGGAAATTTGTACAAAATTCTTGTCATACAGATTTCCAAACACAGAAGTTTCATAATCAAATTGCATTACGTAATTCAAAAAATCAAAAAATCAAAAATCACCATAATAGTAATAGTTAATGTGATGTCACAACTGTCAAAATCAGTGGCCTTGACGGTCATACCTTTTTATTACCATAAGTGATTTTTTTTTTAATTGCCAGATTATGATTCATTATGCCTTTTAGATTTTTCATTTATAATGCAGAAAAAAATTTATTAATAATTATTCAAAAAGATAAAAATTTCATATTGATTGTGATAATTGTTTAAGAAAAAGAACTTTTATTTAGAAAAAAAAATTTGATTTGCATTGCAGAATTTTGCAATGAATTTCTTTTTGCTATAATATTAAATTATTAAAATTTCTGAGATAAAATTATTTTATGATTAAGCATTTCCAGAATTCAAATATGGATGCTAAAAGAAAATTTTTAAAAAGGCAAAAGTCAGTGATGGATTAATATGTAATAACAGATAATTCAATGGAAGTTTGTCATTATTCAAGTAGTTTATTTGAAGAAATTTGTTTTTAGTGTGAAAGATAAGTGGGATAAATCTGATAGAATTAATGTAGATGAAGGTTTTTAATATTATTGCAGTAAATGTCATACTATAGTTCAAACAAAAAAAAACATAGCAATTGGCAAAGATAGTATCAAGTTTCAAGTAATAAAAAAATTATAAAAATAATTTGTTATTAGTCTGTTACAAATTTATTATATAAAGTCATACTTAAATAATTTCACATGATTTAAATCAAAAAGCTACGATGCCGCCAGCAGAAATGAGAATTGCTATAAAAAATATTTTTTTTTAGTAAACGTCATTATTAATTTATACTGATTATGACAAATGTCATGTTATTCAAGATGAAAGGATCTTCACATTTACCACATGACATATGTAACATCCGCAGTCTACTTGTTCCAGAAATTAATGATTTTTAAACTGATATCCCTTTGTTGATCAAATTTTCCTAAAAAGCGTCTGTATTTCACTAAATATTGATTTCAGTATACAAATGTAATTAATTCAATTCGTATGCAATACCCTTATAGAATCATATTTTGACAAATTGCTTAATTTTAACGATAATGGCGAATGGTAAGAGCAAAACAATTATTTTTAGGACTAATTATGTAAATTTCATATATTTTTTTACCTTAAAAAACGTATACATTTTTTATTTTTTTTGCGTTCAGGTGTTATAACTCACAATTTATTCCAAGTTAATTTTGAAAAATAATGGGTTCAAATATTTTTTAATCAAGTCGTAATAAGGCATATAATTACATGGCATGCGCTAATTTATCTCAACGAAATAAGTATTAATATTATTAGAGCTCAAAGAATTATACGTTCATTTATCAATACATATGTATAAAACTTATATTTTATAAAAACGAGTTCTTATTACATGAGATAAAATACATAATTCTTTAGCAAAAATTGCAACCAAAAAAAAAAAAATAATAATAAATGAAGCAATAGATAATAACAAACGAAATTATGCATTCATTTCTACGAGATGGACACTTTAAGTTTCAAGAAATCTTATGAAAGAATTCGCTTGTCATTTTAAATACCAGAGCATATTATTAATTACACGGAAATTACTTTGATAATTCATTATTATCCTAAACCTCCGGATAAAATGATTGTTAAATAACAATAATCACCTCTCAGTTAAATAGTGCTAAATTGTTTATTGTTAAATAATGTAATGTTAAATTCATTGTTAAATAGCAGAAACCTTCAATTTTAAAAAATATGGTAAATACATTAACATATATAACATATACCATTGTTAAAAAAGAATGTTTTATTAAAAAATAGTAGAAAAATTTGTTAAAAAGAAAATTGTATTTATATTTTTAAAACTAATAGGTGATTTGTTAAAAAAGAAATTTTATTTTCTTTTTATTAAAAAAAAAAAAATGATATCTACAAAATATTTTAGAATGATTTCAAAGTAGGTATAATATATTTTTATTAGTAAAGTAAAAGGGGTTAAAAACAAACATTAAAATTATACTAATTTAATAGGCTTAAAACTTAACAAATTAAAAAGCCAACATTTAACAAAAAAAATCATAATTTAATTTTAAAAGTTATTACTAACAAAAAGCCATATCCGAACTTCCCGTAACCACTCCATGGTTAGGTCATCCTGCCAGTAGGATATGACGATCGACACAATGTGAGCAAATGGATCCGGTCCCCTTTTGGCTTCATTTTATCTAGACCTATCACCAATCCAGGTCTCGTGATTTGATGGCTGAAAAAACCTGCTGTTGTGCTATCAATTCGTGGAACAAAATTTGCATATCCAACGTGACTGCTGATCAATAACGTCATCACCAAAAGAAATGATTGGTGTCAACAGGAATCCAAAACTTCCAAATTTGCTGTTCCAAGCATGTGTTAATTTTGTACTGCGCCACGGTATATAACTCCGAAAATTTATAAATTTATTTCATTTTGAAATGAATGAAAGCCCAATCTCCTTTTTCAACATGGCATGCTCAAAAATATTTTCAGGAGATTTACCCGAATTAACAAATGAAATTATACAATATTTTAGAAAAGATTTTTCAACATTATATTCATGTATTTTAGTTAATAGATTATGGTGTCGCTTAGCAATTCCATTATTATGGGAAAATCCATTTCCAAAAAGTTATTCTAAAAATTACCAATTCATTAAAATTTACTTAAATAAATTAAATGAAGATGACAAAATAAAATTAAATGAATATGGATTGAATTATAATTTATCTCCATCAAGTACATTATTTAATTATCCTAGTTTTATTAAATATCTAAATACACGGGATGTTGTTTTCTTTATTAAGAATTGGGTTAATACTTTAGTGGATAGTAAAAACCATGAAGAGCTAGTGAACTTAATTTATGGGTTATTAATGAAAGTTTTTATTGAAAATGAAGGAATTTTAAATTCTTTTGAAGTTATATCAAACTTGAATTGGAATCTTGAATATTTTAATAATATTACAGACTTGATATTACAAAATCCGAATCTTACATACAACATCCGAAAATTAAAATTAGATATTTCTTGTCCAAATCTTATACAATTTTTGAAATTTTTATATACTAATTGCAATTCAATCTCAATGATTGTTCTTAATTCTCTATATTCAAATGTTGATAATCGATCATTAGTTGAAAAATATTTATCACAAATAATAATTTCACAACATAATCTTAAAAAAATTTTATTTGAATATAATATTATGATATATAAACCATTTTTAGCATTAAAAAATTCTAATTGTTCAAATACTTTAAATACAATTATATTTTTTTTCATTGATTTTAAAAATATAATTAGTATTTTACAAGAGGTTTTCGATCAATTGAATGTTTTAGAATCTATTCACATTCTTTATTGTAATTCTTTAAATTCTGATTTTGTTCAACAAATTATTAAGGTCATTAAACCTTTTAAATTGAGATCTTTGTTTATGAAAGAAATATTACATGTTGAATCATCACAATTATTTGTACAGAAAATTAGTGATTGGTTAGAAAATCTTGGATTTATGAGGAGTAATACAAGAGAATATAATGAATCAAAACGACAATTACTTGAATTTATTATAAAATATTGTAAAAGGATTAGATGTTTTGAACCGGGTACACCTGATAATAATATTATATATCAATTAATTGAAAATAATCAACATAGTATTAATTATCTTAATATTGAAGTAGACCTTCTCAATGATCATGTTGATTTAAGTTCAAGTGTATTACAAAATTTAGGACAGATTCTTCCTTCTAAATTAGAATACTTACGTTTAAGACTTTGTATTAATACAAGTGATCTGGAAATATTTTTAAAAAATTCACAAAATACTTTTATTAAAAAATTAGTAATTAATTATAAGTTGTATGATAAAGGTGAAGAAGTTTTATTTTATATAAAGAAATATATTATGAAGAAGGAAAGGGTTAAATATTTGGTTATTAATAATAATGATTTAAATATTGAATTATTTACTTTAAAAAACGAAGTAAATGAATTTAAATTACATAATATTATAGTTAAAAAATCCTCTGATTTATATTTTAATCCATATGATTTTATAATTAATAATTATTCACAAGTAAACGTAGTGTATAATTGTATAAATATATTGTAATTGCATTATTAAAACTTCGCAAATACATTGTTAAATTTAGTAAATATGAAATAATACATTATATACTAACCTTGAATAAATACTTGTTTCTTATATGTCAATAATTTTCAAATCCGTGACTACCACTGATGTACTATTTATATCAACTTCACTTATAGAATGGATCATTCGTGTATCTCAAAACCTTTAATTTGGCATCCTGGCCAATTCAAATAAATCCGAAGGTGAAACCAAAAAAGAAGTAAAAGGCAATAAATAACCCATTTCTTTAATTAAGAAAATCAAAGTTTGAAATAATTCCAAAACTTACCACACATCTTCAAAATTACAAAGATGAAACTACAAAAAAAGAAACTTTCAATTAGAAAAGAAAAAAATCAGAATTTCACAACAGCGAAACTTACCATTTTTTTTTCACTAGAATCCCCTAACCTATATATATATATAACTCGGGGTCCCATGGGAAGTTTGTTTTTGGTAATAATATCACTTTTTTTTGACAGTTCGATGAAGAAAATCGTTTTAATAACAATATGTTTGAAATTTTAATGTTATAAATTTACTAGTAAAATAATTTCTCTTCATAATAAACTATGATGAAATATAATCAAGTTAAAGTTATCATTGATCAGCAAAAAAAATTTTCATGACTGAAATAAATACTTGATTTTTTATTTGGTGAACCAAATCTGGATGTGATTTTCATTATTTCATGTCTACCAATTAATTATCTGATACGTCTATTGCGATAAAACAAATATTTTTTTTTGATTAGCGTCACGCATAAATCTTTATATTTTGTTATCTATTAGGAAAGGAAATGACTATATCTGGTTTATTTTTGTTAGTAACTAGAAGTTAAAAAAAAAAATACACGTGATTTTATATTTTTTTAACGTTAAATTAGTAATTTGTCATTATCTTTTATCCTCTAATTTACTAGCGAGAAATATATTGTTAAAATCAGGTGATAAGCTGAATTTTTCGAGGTGGTTACTTGATGTCATACCAATATCCAATCCGAAATTTTCACAAAAAATATTTCTTTTTATTTTGTCATAATTTCAACATATTACACTAATATATAATTTTCTTTATTACATACGCCAATTTACTAGTGTGGATCTAATAAATAATGTCAAAGATTGTAGTTAATTATTGTACGAAGAGTAATAACACTTTAATGATTTATAGGCAAATTCATATGAGTTAGAAATAATAATATTTTTAAATATATCTAGAGCTTCTGGTCAGATAATTAATATATTATTAACACAATCTATTATTAATCATATTTAATGATGTCCAAATCTCAGATTATGAGAATCAATTGCATATAATCTACAATCTTTAACATTGATTGATACTCTGGAGGTTTTACATATTTTACAGTACATTAATAAATTAAAATACAACTTCCATTTTTAAACTCAGGCCTTTATTTATTCATATAAATTTTATAAATGTGGTTAAATTTATTCAAAAAATTTTTTTAAAGGTCGTAACGACTTTGATAATAGATTCGTGACGATTTAGATCAGTGATCGTCTTAATGCGCAGTAACTAGATTGTATCCAAATAATTACTAAAAATTCACTATTCTGGCACAATTTAATACATTTCAGCAAAGAACTTATCGTCTTATCCCAATGAAGATTTTGTAATGCCTTATTTATTAACATTGTGTATGGTTATTTATATAACTAAATGTATCAATATATAAATCCTCATATTTTTGAACTATAATATTATGTAATTTATATTCATTTACTTCGTCTTTTAAAAAAAATAATTCGACAGGTGCTGTACTGGCATTAGAATCTGATTCTACAATAGCCAAATATTTAATCCTTTCCTTTTTTATAATATATTTCTTTATAAAAAATAAAATTTTTGTATTTTCATCTCTTTCATCTTCTTCGGGTGTATACTCGAATTTATTACTAATTAATAATTTCTTAATGAAAGTATTTTGTGAATTTTTTAAAAATATTTCTAGATCACTTGTAATAAAAGAAAGAGCTAAACATAAATATTCTAACCTAGAAGGAAGAGCCTGTCCTAAATTTCGTAATAAAATTGAACTGTCTTTATAAATAGAATAATTTTCGAAAAAATCCCTTCAATAGTAATATAATTAATAATATGTTGATTCTTTTCAATTAATAAGTAAATACTATTATTATTATTATAATAATAAGGTATACCCGAATAAAAATATCTAATCTTTTTACAATATTTTATAATAAATTCAAATAATTGTTGTTTTTGTTCATAATAAATGGTTTCTCCCATTTTTCCACATCCAAATCCAAGATTTTCTAAACAACCACTAAATTTCTGTAATAATAATAGTAATGATTCAATATGTTCATTAAGTATTATTTCATTCATAAACAAAGATCTTAATTTAAAAGGTTTAATGACCTTAATAATTTGTTGAACAAAATCTGGATTTAAAGAATAACAATAAATAATGTGAATAGATTCTAAAACATTCAATTGATCAAAAACCTCTTGTAAAATACTAATTATATTTTTAAAATCAATGAAATAAAATGTAATTGTATTTAAAGTATTTGAACAATTAAAATTTTTTAATGTTAAAAATGGATTATATAAATTAACAAAAGATCCAAATGAAATTTTTTTGAGATTATTTTGTGAAATAATTATTGGTGATAAATAATTTTCAACTAATGAATAATCATTGATATCAATTTTATATAAAGGAAATTTAAAAACAATCGATGAGATTGAATTGTAATTAGAACTTAAAAATTTTAAAAATGGAATGGTATTTTCCGATAAGGTAACATGACTGAGTGTTAAACCTCTGATATTGTATGTAAGATTTGGATATTGTAAAATCAAGTCTATTGTATCATCAAAATAACTATTATAATAAAAATTCATGTCCAATACAACTTCAAAAGAATGTGAGTTTACTTCATTTTCAATGAGTAATGACCTATAAGCTAATTTTCCTAGAATATGATTGTATTTATACTCTAAAGTAATAACCCAATCTTCAACAGAATTACTAATTTTAAATGTATCTAAGTATTTAATAAAACTAGGATAATTGAATAATGTATTTGAAAGTAATAAATTATCATTAATTCCATATTCATTAAATTTTGCTTTGCCATCCTCATTTAAGAAGCATAAATAAGTATTAATATAATGATAATTTTGAGTAGAAAGTGAAAATGGATCTTCCCATAATAATGGAATGGCTAAACGGCACCATAATCTATTTACTAAAATACATGAATATAATGTTGAAATATCTTTTCTAAGATACTGTATAATGTTATAGGTTAGTTCAGGTAAATCTCCTGAAAATATTTTTGAGCATGTCATGTTGAGCAAAAGAAAAAGGAGTTTGCTTTCATTTCAAAATGAAATAAATTTATAAATTTTCAGAGTTGTACAATTTTATTTAGTATTCCATAAAAGGACAACAAAAGAACCAAAAATAGCATGTAAATCATTCCTTTAAATAATTCTGTTAATTTCAAGAAAGGTTATGTCTTTTGTCAATCAGGTGGAGGTGTACTAATTCCGGGCCTGCTGATCTCCTTTATTTGTTACAATACATTGAAATATCATAAAGTAAATTCTTATTATAAAACGTATATAATTATTTGTGATTATTTACAAATTCCTAATAAAATGATCAATTAATTAACTCTTTATAGATGTTTTATTGTCCAATAAGAAAATTACTACGAAACTTCAGGTATATTAAGTATTATTCTTAACTAGTAAAGAAGAAAAAAGCAAAGAGCGATCAGTGACTGAAGAAGATATGGATTTGCATATACAGGTGAATCAGAATTGTTCATCACATCTACCCAAAATTAAAAAGAAGAAATTTCAGAGGACAAAAAAATTGGACAAAAGAGAGTTAGTAAAGAAGAAGTGAGTAGAGGGACATTAGTAATAGTGATAGTGATGGTGAGAGTAGTCTAGTAAATATTGTTACAGAGGTAGCATTAGGGATGGCAACAGTCGGTCATGGTTGGTTATCGGTCGGTCATAACCGGTTATGGGTCTTTGACCGACCGACTGACCATTTTGGCTGACCGGTTATTAAGAAAAAATGTTAAAAAGTTTTTTTTTTTGATTAAATCCGCTAATAAAAACATTATACAACTTTTTATTGATTAAGCTCATAAAAAAGTGTTAAATGAATAGGGTTGGTTAAATGGTCAGTTAACGATCAGTTAAACGGTCGGTTAAACGGTCAGTCAAGTTAAATGGTCGGTCAGAGTTTTTACTGACTGATATCGGTCACGGTTATTAACCAGTCATGACCAGTTATGACCGTAACTATTGCCATCCCTAGGTAGCATGTAAAGTAGGAAAGGTAAGAAGGGTCGTAAAATGAAGAAAAAGAATAAAAAGAAGTGGTAAGTTTGTTGATTAGGTACCTCGTGTTATGGGCGAAGGTATTAGCTAGATTTTTAATTAGAATTTAAATTGAAAACCATAAATAGTAGTAGTTGTATGTAGTTAATTGTTATGTATTAATTTGTCATGATAGTTTAGCGTGTTTAGTAGATAGATATTAGGAGATGCATGCGTCTAAATTGTGACAATTTGTTTTTTTCAAATATTAATAAGTTTTTTTTTAAAAAAAAAAATAAGTATTATTAAATCATGTTATTTTATTTTCTCAAATCAAATTAAATATTATTGATCTCCCGGATATCTGAAAAAAAAAATTATCTGGGGATACACAAAAAAATTTGAGTTCTAATTTTTATTAATTGCTACAATATCTTTTAATTATACTAACAAAATCAAGATACAAGAAATTATATTATGGTCATTCAAAATATGAATTGTGAAAATTGTTATAATGTATATATGAATAAAGGGGATATATGGTGTAAATTATGTCAAACAAATTATTTTTATGAAAATTTCACAACTTGAACCAGTGGCAATAAAAAAGTTGATAGTTTTATCCATGAAGTTTTAGAAAAGATTTTTCGACATTATATTCATGTATTTAGTCAATAGATTACAGTGTTCAGAAAATGACTTGAAATGACCAAATGATTCAAATGACAAATGATATAACATGTAACTTAAAAATTAGTTAACTTCATTACTAAATAAAAAAATAAAATATTTATTATATTAATATTTACGAAATTATTATTTTTTTTAAAAAAATCAATAACATGTAGAAAAATTGAACGACGTTGATAGAAAAGATGGTCAATTAAATTGAATGCCGGATAAATAGTTTGATTTTCAAATTCATAAGAATCAAAAAAATTTGATACTATTTCTTACAATATTATATTATGTGAAGAAATTGTTGATTTAATAATAGATTATTATAACCAAATCCATATCCAAAATTCTCTATCCCTATAAAAGTATTTATATTTAAAATATAATTAAAAACTTTTTAAAATATATTTAAAATATACTTAAAATATATTTAATTTAAAAATTGCGAAATACTTATAATATACTTAAAATGTATTTAAAATTATCTTAAAATATATTTCTAATATATTTAATTTTTGCCCAAATACTTAAAATATACTTAAATTATATTTAAATTAAAATTTAAGTATATTATAGATATATTTTTTACATACTTAAAATATTCTTATAATATATTTCATAATATATTTTAAGTATATTTTAAGTATGTAAAAAATATACTTATAATAATCTTATAATATACTTAAATTTTAATTTAAATATAATTTAAATATATTTTAAGTATATGGGCAAAAATTAAATATATTAGACATATATTTTAAGATAATTTTAAGTATATTTTAGATATATTAAAAATATATTATAAGTATTTTGCAATTTTTAAATTAAGTATATTTTAAATATATTTTAAGTATATTTTAAGTATAATACTTTTTATAGGGTATATAATCTCCAGATTTTTGAATAAATAAATGGTTTAGTTAAATTAATAATTTATTGAGTAAAATTAAGTATCAAAAGAATAATAAATTAATAATAAATGAAATAAATGAAATGAATAGTTTCTAATACATTTAATTGTTCAAATATTTTTCCTCATTTTCATTTGAGAATTGAAATGACATGCATCGATTTTAAAAAATAATAATTTTGTAAATATTAATATTTTATCTCTTTATTTAATAATAAATGTTAACTAATTACAAAAAAATTTAAAAAATAAAAAATTTAACCGAAAAACAAAAACTTTTGCTTAAAGCTATTATTAATAAAAAAAATATTTTTGGAACTTCACCTATATATAAGAATTTCTGGGTTTCTAACTGATCTTTATGATAATAACTTGTGAGAATGTGAGATAATTAAATAATCAGTAATGATCTATAAATAGAAATAAAAAGGTTATCCTATGATCACTCAGATAAATGAGTTATTGAATTACTAGTCTATTATCAGAACGCTCATCCACGCTTACTCAGGCATATATACCAGATTTCATCTAGACTCACAAAGAATCCCGACAAATAAATATATTTGGAAAACCTTAGACATATATATACGTGAGCAGACCCATGAACTAAATCGTAAAAAAGCCTTCATTGCAATTAAAGCTCAATTGAACACAATAACTCACCTAATATCAGGGATAATGAAAAAATTTCATTAGGTATAAGGTGGTATCCAGGTATAAGGTGGTATCCAAGTATAAGGTGGTATCCTATCACCTGAAAACATAAATATACCTTATAAATATTTATCAGCTAGAAAGATGCTTCTATAAAGGTCCAAAACTACTCCTATTTATAAGAAATTTTTACATTATACTTAATATAAATTTTACTATACTTATATTTTACAATAAGACAAACCCTTATTACTAATTTTCCATTATATTAATATAATAACTATAATGAGTCATAACTATTAACAATAAAATAAACAATTACAAACCCTGATTAATAATTTTTCATTACTATATTAATTATTCAATAAAATAACTTATAATGAGTCATAACTATTAATATTTACAATGAGATAAATAATTACACGCCCTGATTACTAATTTTCCATTATATTCTTTTGTCAATAAAATAACTTATAATGAGTCATAACTATTAATATTTACAATAAGATGAATAATTACAAACCCTGATTACTAATTTTCCATTATATTCTTTACTTAATTATTAATTATTAAAATAAAACTATATTAATATTTAATAATGTCTAACTTTATAGTTTATAGAATATTATTCATTATTTTACATTTGGTAAATTGATCTTTAGTTACCAATTTTTACAATGAAATGATTTGTAATGAGTTGTAGTAATTATATTGTATTATTTCATTTACACTTGATCACTATAAAATTTTGGATATATATTTTAACACATTTTCTGTGCTACAATATTTACTATGACTTGCTATGCCCAAATTCATTAATATGTCATATTTCTTTTGATTTATTGTTTATTAAATTATATTATAGTTCTTCCTTGGTCATTTGAATGTAATTTTGGCCAGCATTATAATTTTTGCCTAAACTACATTCATTATTTTTTATTATAGTCACATGATTATTTATGTGATAAATATTAGCCAATCAAAATCAAACGATTTAATGATTAAATGACAAATGATTATGAAAAATTTCATAAATCATTTAAATAATGGTCAAATGGCCAGGTTATTTCCGAACACTGATAGATTATGGTGTCGTTTGGCCCTATAAAAAAATTGGATACGTTTTTTATAAAGTTTTTATACGATTTTTTTTCCTTAGAAATAACGTATCATAATAGGATACGGAAAAATGCACAATTCCGTATCACTAAAAATATGGTTTGGATACGGAATTTGCACGGAATTCATATGGAATTTACATGATTTGATCACTGATTTTATCACGAAATTTATACGATTTGGTCACTGAATTTACTATTTGTATTACAGTTTACTATAATTATATTTATATAAATCTAATTTTACTTTATTAAATTAAATAAAAAATAAAAAATAAACAAAATACAGAAAATTCCCTCCTTATTAAGGCCACCTATTGCAACCAAAATTATCTATAAGTTCAGGTTCATTTGGAGTCAAACAACCTAAAAAAAAACAAAAAAGAACGTCTAACTTAATTGGAAACAAAACCCCCCCTTCATATAGTATCTGCAATCGTCCAAGTCACCAAAGG